TTGATTATTTGTTACCATTAAGCTGATGGCTCTGAAGCCAATGCTTTATAAATAAATAAATAAATAAAAAATAATAAATCGTAATTTGCGGTTTTTGAACACATTATAGAGTTTATGATATGTTTGTAAATAAAATTATATTACTGCACCATATATATATATATATGGTGCAGTTTAAAGGTAAATCTTTTTTTAATGCGGTAGCACCCCCAATCAACTTCCGGGGCTTTCTGCCAGTACCATAATTCAGGATGAGCGATCGCAACCCAGTAAGCCATGCCACCAAAGTGCATCACACACAAATACTCTAAAATTATATACGTATCAAGCTTAGAATAATAACGCATAGAATGATAGTTTCATATCAAACGAACTGTCACAAGTGAGGCAAAAAACAAATTCATGTAGGCTAGTTTTAGTAGTAGGTTAATTTTCGGTTTTAGTGAATATTTATATAAAAATACAAGTTGAAACGCGTTACTTCTTGTGGAATGTGATGTTAGTATCTATTTTATGTTTGTCTGACGTATTTTTACACTCATTTACCGCACATTTCGTCATTTTTAGCTAAAACTCTGGAACTGTTCGCGGTGCAAGTTGACCTTGAGCACTGAAGGCCCGCCCGCTCGTGTAGGCCCTTTTGGCGCGCTTCAATTTGCCTCACTTAGCGTGTGCGGACTAGGTTTCTACGCGTTATTATTCTAAGGTATCAAGTATGTTAAATACGGTTAAATGTGATTAGTACCAATGTAAATAATGTAAGGAGTGTAATTAATGTAAATAATATAAATAATGTAATATTAATGTAATTTTTACTAGCAGTAGAGCTCCTTATAAAAGAGTGCGTCCAGTGAAGTACTGCCACCTTACCTATTTCTGCTGCCAAGCAGTAATGTCAGCATTACTGTGTTCAGGTTTTGAAGGGTAAGGGTGCAGGTAAAATTACAGGCACATGGGACTTGTCAACTTATGTCTTAAGGTGACGGGCGCTGTGGTTGTGCCCCTCAGATCCTTGCAATTTGAAGCTCTGAGTGGCACTGTAACTGTTATGGACAGGCGTATAGCTTACCATCACGCACACGACTTGTTCGTCCCGTCACTTGTAAAACACACTTATAAAAAAAATAACTTAATTTTTTTTATAAGTGTGTTTTATTTGTTACAAACATAATATTAAATATAACAATAGTCACCAAATGTGACCTAATATTCATTCGGAAATTCAGATATTTAGATTTACATGTATCAAATCGAGGAAATATGTATAACTAGCGAGTGACATATTATCTGTTCCGATAAAAGATGTTATATTCACGCTTAAATCGTATTTTATTTTTGGTCAACATCGTCCTTAGTAAGTAAGGCTCAAAAAGTTATATTTCAATCTTGCTTGTTACGTCCGCTTCTTGCCCGTGGACCTTCTACTAACACCACGAACAAATGAAATTTAAAAGATCAATACAGAGTAACACCGACCAAAAAAAGACAAAAACCAACCTCAATAGTCATTTATCCCCTAATTTGGCACCCTTAGAGGTGGAATATTTTCTTTAAATTTAAATGGGACCACATCTGTGGTGCCCTCTTTCCAACAAAAAAAGAATCATCAAAATCAGATCATAAATACCATTTTTTTTATTTTACACGAATACAAAATTAGAGTTATCGTGTAACATACATACAAAAAAACATACAGTCGAATTAAGAACCTCCTCTTTTGGGCCTTTTGGAGGGAAAAGTGTCGTTTTTATTTTGACTTTCAATTATTTTGTGAAATCTAGTTTAAAGTGGAATAGGATAGTGCTATTGTGCCTTAATCGAAGATTAAAACGCGAAATTATACGAATCTCGAACTAAAATACCCGTATCGGCCCGTTCTAAGGAATCCCGAGTCAATCCAATCACGCCGCCTCAAATTGCCTATCCTCTTTGTGGTGGCCATATTTACAGAAATATAATTAAACGTTTATGTTTTCGGCTGAAGGACTTTGTTTCCATGGCCAGCAATAAATTAAAAAAAAAATTACACTCGTCATGTGCTTGTCAACCTTGTCAGCCGAAAGCGAGTGTAATACCTAAAGTAGTATAATGTAAAAGCAATAAATTCTACTGATGAGTGTAAATAAAATACCAATAAAATAACGTTTTCTGCGTTTCATTTTTAAGAATGTTTTTTATTTTTTATTTTTCCAATACATAATTTCTTAAATAATTGTATTAAGCTGATTTGTGCACATCATCATCAATCATTTATCCCACTGCTGAGCACGAGTCCACTCCACTCAGGCAATGGTTTAGGCCATAGTCCTCCACGCTACTAGCCGTATGCGGGTTGGGGACTTCACGCGGTTTCCAATATATTTGTCAACCTTGTACGACGCTCAGGTTTCATCACGATCACCGAAAACCTCATGGTAAATTTCAAATTAAATTTCGCACATAAATTCCGAGACACTCAGAGCCTGGATTCGAACCCGCGGCCTTTGTTAGAAAGTCGGTAAGTCCAACCGTTAGGCTATCACGGCTTTTGCACATTCGTGTCCTAAACCTCAGTGTTTACTTAGTACTCAAAAATGAAACAATGTTTCTTTTTATAATACCAAGTGACGGGACGAACTAGTCGTGTCTGGTGGTAAGCTACCAGTCCATACCAGTTGCAGTGCCATCGCAAAGATCCCTTCACCCTGAGACACAATTTGACAAGTTCATAAGTTCACAAGTTCCGTGTACCTGTAATTTCACCAGCCCCTTACGCTTCTAAACAGAAACGCAGTAATGCTCATATTACTGCTTGGCGGTGGAAATAGGTAAGGCAGTACTTCCCTGGACTCTTTCCCAAGGAGCTCTCTGCTACTAAAATGTAGCGTGATCGACCACCGCGTTGCGACAATATACAAGTAAGTACAATACAAGTGAATAAAAATTATTTTTTTAGCCAGTACCGGCACGCTATGATGGCCGTTTTTACGTTTATCCGCTCATCAAGTTTCGTATTAATTCATAACTACGTTGAAGGAAATAATTGCTGTACATTGTTGTCAATAGTGACGTGCAGTAAAATTTATTGCGGTGTAATTTTACGACACAACTCAGCATTCGTTTTTCAAAATTCGACATTTTCAAATATGAAATCTAATAGGATCGTCACTTATGGGATCGCTGCCAGCTCGCTGGCCAGCAGAACTTCTACCTCCGGCAAATTAACGTCAAAACTCAATGCAAAACAAAACAGTTTCGAATTAACGTTACATTAAGTAAACATTATTATTTTCGTTTTATTAAAACTTTTTAATCAGCTACCCCTTGCAATACTAGTTATAAATCTAAAAACTTATAGATGCGACTCGCATTTGATTATATTTTTTCGATAATGAATTGAGATTTGACCTCATTATTGTAATCTGTCAAAAAGGCCATCATAGCATTTACTTTTTTTTTACTTTTTTTTACATTTACATTAGTAAGCCAAAAATAGCTAACGTAGGTAATAAGCTCAGAGACGCATAAAATTTACATTGCCGCAAATGAAACTATGTTACATAAAAGGGTCTTATAATTGAACTGTTCGATCGGCATCATAAAAATGCAGGATGTTTTTTTTTCTGATTGGTCGGTTCGATGCCTGATTATATAAACAACTGCAAATCTTTGAATGTAGTATTGCTGACTTTTAAAAATAAAAAATATATCCAAGAAGCAAAATATCCAGCCCATCTACAAAAAGTACTTTCCCTCCGTGGCCCACAGCAGTGAGATGCCCTGTATAACATTAACTATATTTTCACAAAAATAAATCCAGTATTGTGAAGTCACGTCCTCTCATAAGAACGGAGGAAGCGATGGCGGGGTGTGTATGCCACTAACCACGTATTAAAATATCACCGACTCCTACAAGATTACATAAACATATACAGGGTGTAAAAATGGTTCAACCATAACTTAGTTGGTGCCTGAAAGAACTTTAACAATTTTTTTACATTAACAAAATGTGCGCGGTCTATTGATTATTGATACGGGGAACTAAATTCAGTTTTCACTACATTTAAATTATTTAGCTTATTTTGTTCGCAATATTAAAGAATTATGAATATGACCCCCAACCAATTTATAATAAGTTTAGTCTAACGTTTTTCTTTTTTCCTTCACCTGTATATACACATTATGATACGTTGAATGGAAAAGAAGTACGCTCAGTACTAGGTTGTTATATATCTCGCAATATATAGTTTAAAACAGATTTTACATAAACACAGATGTCACTTAATTAGACACATATTTCAGTCTTCTGTACCTGTTCAACATGTTTCAAGAAACAATCTAAAATAAAAACACCATTTTATTCCAAAAGGTGAAAAGATAGTGTAATGTTATTTTAACGTTTAGATAATATACAAGGCATTTGCACCTGTTATCTAAATATGAATTAAAAAACCATTGCTAACTGCCAACTCATCTCGACATTGAAATTTTATTTTATCAGCAAATAGCAGCTTTAAGCCAAGAAAAACTAATATTGCTTCAATGAATGTCGACTGAAATTTGCAGCCTAGACTAGCAAACAGGCGAAAGGGCACTAAAGATCAATACATTCAGGATAGACGGCAGACACGAAAATGAAACTCAATTCGAGTCTGCTATTCGACGGTCCCATGGTGTAATGGTTAGCACTCTGGACTCTGAATCCAGCGATCCGAGTTCAAATCTCGGTGGGACCTGTTATTTTCTAATATTTTTGCGTTTATGTCCTATTTTATTCGCTTATAGCATTCTATTAGTTTTGCCATGAACTTTATAAGGTCCTAGTCTGTTATTAAGAAATCTGTTTTATCTTCTAAATATTATTATTATTTAAGGTTCTAAGTCAAAATTGTGTGTAGATATCTTGAGAGACGCCTGCGCTTGGTAAGTTCAGTAGGTAATACGCGCAATGTTCCAAGCACCGTAAATTATATTTTGAAACTGTTTGTTGCCTAGGCGATATGTCCCTAAACAATACAATTGTCAAAGTCGTGGTACGTGTCATACTTACCAATTTTAGATTTCGTTGAAAAAAAGAAGTACAGTAAAGAAAATAGAAAGTATTGATAAAAAATGCACATCAGCAAGTTAAAAATACTAATAATAGGTCCATCAAATGTGAGTTTTTTTAAACTATAAAGTTAAAAGTATATTTAAGTTTATAGTTATTACCATCCTACAATACGTAAATACCTTCTATTGCGCACTTAATTTCATCTACTAAATGATTCATTGCTATTAGCAAATTATTGCCTAGCCTATAATTAAGTAACAGCTGATTGATTTCACGCTTAGATGCATTTTCAATTAGTCTCTGATTCATTAGACTTCTTTATCACTCTATTGAGACATAATTTAATAGTAGGCTATTTTCATTATTACAGAGTGGAAAAACGTCTATTGCAAACTTCTTATCGGAATCCATTAATATAGAAGAAGCTGAAACACCAAGACCAACACAAGGTGTCAGAATTGTAGAATTTGAACTTTCTAATCTGAGTGTGAATGGCAAAAGTAACAACATCGACATTGAACTGTGGGACTGTAGTGGCGATCACAGGTAGGTAATACAACTCTACTCGTACTACAAACATTATGTAGGTAAAATCAAGCGGGTCTAGTGTTAATAATTGTTTATTAAAAGTAGTGTTATTGTTTTGTTTACTGTAGATTGTACACCATACTTACAACTCATTGGCGCCTAGTAAGCAATTCATGTTACCTACCACAATAATTGATATTACTTACCTACTATTAATATTACCCGTAGGTAATATTAATAGTAGGTAAGTAATATGCTTACATTTCATTGTCCTAGTGTAGATAGCGCCATCCATTGATACAACGCGTAACTGCTTGCCATCGCAGTAGATAGCAACCCCAATCCTATGATGCTGCAAGTTGTAAATAATATTCGAAGCGTCAAGGAAGTATTCATAAGCCCGAATTTTATAAACTTATGACGTACTGTGTACTATAAACTTTAATACTTAATTCAGAACCAAAGGTTTAATTAAATCCATTCTCCTTTATGAAGCCAGATGAACAGTCGATGAAGGTTTTAAATACCAAAATGGCTTAGTTTAAAATGCAATTAATTTTGAGCGTTTAGTCTCATTCACTTCGTATTGACAATAATATGTATAATAATAGTATGTCATACGACAGCTCCTGGGTCAAAATCGTTCAACTGTTCAAAATTTGAATGTAGCTATGAATGTAGCTTCAATTCTACACCAGATTTTGTTCTAAGGACTTGAATCCATTTTAATTACTCCATTTTCAGATTTGAATCTTGCTGGCCAGCACTTCGAGCAGGAGTGCAAGGTGTAATCTTGGTGTGTGCGCCTACCACGGCTCATGCCGCCACCAGGGAGTTGGAACTTCTTTACAACTATTACGTCTCACAACCCAAACTATCTGCTAAACAGTGTGTAGTTTTCTACAACTGCACTGAAGAACAAGACGACGTCGAAACATTAAATTTGTGTATGTCGCCTTTTAAAATAAAATCAATTAACTATGCCAAAATATCGTGGATCTGATTCAACATGGTTTTTGTACTTTCAGCTCCCACATTTTCAAAGGTGTCTCAACTTGCCATCAATTTGAAGACAGGAGGTAATCGCTTAAAAATTGACTTTTCAAACTACATAGCTTCGGTGATGCAGTCGATAAATAAAGATGTTTGATTTCCAGTCGTTTCGTTGTTTATAGTGTGTGACATTTATTTGGTCATACTTACCCTTGTGTGCATAAACATACGTGTGCACTGAAAAACATCCATTCATTTGATTGAATTCCTGTAAACATTGTAACAATTACACACACGCTCACACACTTGAAAATATATATACTCGGCCTGGTCTTTTAGTGTTAAAAATCATAATAACAAAGATAGGATTAGATAAGGTACGGTAATCAGACTCATTTGTAAGTAAGTGATATGGATTCGAAATTAAGACATTTTTCTATAATAAACATAAATTTATTTTAAGTCGAATAGGCTCTTTAATAATTACTACTTATTACAAATTAGCCAAATACCTACTGTAATAAAATACAACGAGTTAGGAAGATAAATTGTTACATTATTGCTTTCATTTTTATCCTAACTGAGTATTGGTAATATATTTTAGCATCGAGGTTTATTAAATAACAACGTTAAGAATAAGAGAAGAGAAAAGTAATTGCAAGACATAATTGGATTTTCTCCATTAATATTATTTGAGGTGATTTAATGTTAAAAGATACCCTATAATGTCGTTTGAATGACGACACCAAATATTTCGGGCTACGTAGAAATAGCAGTTCCTATTATTGTTTCATCTTTGTTAAAACTTAAATCTGAATAGCAAACTTCCCTCAGTCTTAAATTATTTGGCTCATAAGAGAACCTAACTCTAAAACTTATTTCATCTGCCATATATACCTTAATTTACATATTTACGCGTCTCGACAACGAATAATTATTTTATAAAAAAAAACTATATTTACACTACGACTTTGTACAAGAATACTTATTAAATCTTGCAATATTAATTATATAAAATACAGTGCTCACAGAAGTCTGTCATTACTAATTATCACCTTGATCACGTTTTGTAACATGTGGAAGGATTTCTAAGTAAAAACTTACTAATTATAAAAGAAAAAAGTTAATGCCTATCATTTTTCCAGTTGCCACGCTCATTGAAATTCTTTCTATCTCGATGGCCTCTGCCGGAACTACCCCTGTTCCATCTATCATTGCCGCGACCTCGGTGACCGCCTCTGTGAGGAAATCTCGGGTAATTTTGATCTCCATCCATATTATAGTTGTTAGGGCCATTATAACCCATATTTCCATAATTATTTGGAGGAAAATTATTGAAATTATGTGGAATGTTAGGAGCTATACCCAGTAGTCCAGGCGTAGGCCCAGTACGTGGATCTGCCATAGGCTGATTGTAACCTGACATATGACCCACGTTCATGTTATTCATACCGCCCACACCTCCGATACCCATAGATTGCATATTCATCATGTTCATGTTTGATGGATCCATACCCCCAGTATTAACGGCATACGGATTGGCAGGTTGGTTGAAATTAATAGGAGTCTTAAGTAGGGCTTCCTTTGGTTTAGGCAAATAAGTATAATCACCATTTTCACTTAGGGTTATACCTAAGTTTGTAAATATTCCACAGATTGCCGTATTGCTTTGAACAGCTGTGAGATCTAATGTCGTATTTTTACCAGCACTTTTTTCTTGTTGATACTGCTTTACCATCTGTGTTACAGGCATTAAGTGTTGATTGATTAATATTTTTTGTGTAGAACTAAGTCCTTTAAACCAATTAGAATTTTGTAAAATTGTTTGTATGTCCAATGAATTAGACTTTTCTTGATTGCTACTTTCTAACGTATCAGATTGCTTTCTTCGGGGATCCACACGAGGTCCTGCAGGTGCAGCTGGTTTTGTTGACTTTTCACTATCACTATTAGATTCATCTAACGATAATCTAAATACTTTCCTAAGTCGTGGATCTACCAATGCCTGAGACTTAGCAGTACTATTTCTTATATCCGTGTAATCTGGCCTTGGTATATGTATTGGTACTAGTTTATAAGGGATAGGAGGATGACTATTGATTGAACCATCTATTTCCGAAGCTGGTGTATAGTTCGGTATAGCCTTAAAAGGTAAACCTAATCGAAAATCGATATCGCCACTGGCACCCTGGCGTAAATCGGTGTCACCAAACGCAGGAAAATCTGTTTTTCGTAAGTCAACATCAGTCCTGCGGCGTCCATCTGTAGGCTCACCATCGATGCATTCATAAATGGAAATGCGAGGTAGTTTTTTATTTGCCGTCTTTGTGGTATCGACGCTCTTTTCTGGAGATTTTTTAGACCGCGGATCTCTGAGCCTAGAAGTCTCACTCCCATCAAAGTTATGTTCAGGTTTATTATCGTGCAAGTTATTTTTCATTGTATGTAATAGCTTAGTTACCTCTTCGCTTATATCTATTTTTGAAAGATCTCCTAATCTACTTAAAATCGTTGATGGTTCAATAACATGAGGCGCCGGTGCTGGAGAAGATGAACTTGCTGACTGCGGCGAAGAGGCGGGAGATTTCCTTTTATAGCATTTTTCTTCGTCACTAGAATACCACTTTTCGTCTATAAGCAAATTATTATCCTCATCATCAGTAGTTGAACGTCGGTGTCTTTTATCAGGACTCTTAAATATAGGATCAGGACGCAAAAATCTAATATCGGTATCATACCCTTTCTTTTCGAGGCTATCCTCAATAACTGGCTGTGCCATTTTGGTGCTTTCGTCGGAAAATGGAAGCACCCTGTGATCTACATCTTTAGTTTCAGTTGAAACAAGAGATTTGTCGTTCTCAAAAGTCTCATTAGAAATGTCAATATTCTCTTTATCTTTGGTAGCGTATTTCAAAGCATCTTTCGTATATTGATCGATATCTATTAGGTCTTTATTAGGTAATGAATCTTTTCTAGTTATTGAATTCACTGAAGATTCTTCACTGACTGGAAGTGACACTGAAGGTTGAAATCGCATATCAACATCTCTGCCAGGCAACTCGGCTGATATATTAATATTACTGTTTATCGTCACAGGTGGCGCTACTCTTAAATCTAAGTCTTTTGTTCCAGTTGTTGAAGTTATAAACGACGGCTGTTGTTCCATGTTATTAGTGTTTATAAGACCTAATTTTTGTATGCTCATGGTATTCAATTGTATTTCAGTTATTTGTTTCAAAGATATTCCGATACTATTTAATTGCAACACTGTCAGTTGTCCTAACTGATCTAGATTGTCAATGCCCATTTTAGTAAGATCAGAAATTTGTCTTGGCGTTAAAACTCCGCTTAAATTTTTGATGCTCAAAACATTTGTCGCATTCATATTTCCACCTGGCGACAAATTAAGATTGAAATTTGGATTAGAATTATCGTTTTGCCACCGAGAATGGCGAACTTTTGGAGATACTTTATTTTGTCTGTCGTTGTTATATGGATCCGACGAATTATGCTGTGGGTTAGGTATATTTAGTTCAAAGAGGGAAGGTATATTTTTTTCGTGATTGTCAGAATTTTCTGAAAATTGTTGCATTAACTTTGCCTGGGTAGTTTGTATCATTTTTAGTGCTCCTTCTCTATTCAGCCTAGGAAAATCTCCTAAAATTTCTTTAGGAGCCGATTCAATATGTTTCAAAAGGATATTCTTCAAATTTTCTGTTAGCGGCTTACCATGGGCAAACTTACATTCATCTTTATATATGCAAGGAAGACCGGTATGATAATACTTACATGGGAAATCAGCATGCATGTACAAACACTTATCTCGTTTCGCACAACAGTCCATTAAATAAAATTTGCATAATTCCATTTTTCTTGGAGGCTGTGCGTCATGAGAATAAATACAATCGTCGCCTTTATGACATTTCCCTTGCATATAGTACAGACATACTCCATCGGGATCTTGCATTGGATGAGCATTTTGCCTTCTACGCTCGTTTTTATTATTTTTGTTTCGGTCTCGTTGAGGTGGCCTATGTCTCTGTGGTCGATGATGTTGATGTCCCCGTGAATCATTACTGCTGTCCGAACCGTAAGAATCTTTGTCATCATCGGCATACATATCAATGGGTGACTCTCTCTGAACAGGGGACGCTCCTCTTACACACATCATCTCGCTTTCATCCATTTCATCTGTGAAATCTTGTTTTTTACGCTTCTTACTTGGGCCATCTTTACTATCATATTTCCTTCTTTTCTTATGTTTGCGACGCTCCTCGCCTTCTTCTTCATTGTTAATGTCCCCACAATCGTCCTTATTCATCGCTTTTCTGATGGCTTTTTCAATATTTCCAGCAAAATCATCTTCGACGGTATTGACATATTTCCGATTTTTCTTACTTTTATCTTTATACTTCTGTTCCTTCGATTTTGATTTCTTTTTCTTACCTGATTTTGAATAATAAACATCTTGTGGAGGTAAAACTTCTTCAACGTGTTTTTCCCCTATACCTGTGGTAATATCTTCTTTTTTATCTTCAATTTGCGCGTGAGACGTATCTTCTTCATCACTCTCAATCTCACCGTCTTCCAAGTCATCTTCAACCTTCATCTCAGGGTCTGCCATCACGAATGATTCACTGAAATTGAGAAAAATAAAAACATTAATAGAAAAATATTTTTTTATTTCATTATTAATTCAACGCAATATTATAGCAGAGCAAGGAACTTTTATCATAATTTTATCGAGTAATTGATAAGAACGTAATCTGTAAGTGGGAGTATCGATCAACATAAATAACACTCAAACAGAAAACGTCAACACGTAATTTTGATACGAAACTTTGAAAGGAATAATTTCATGCAAAAAAAAATTAAGTGTTTTCATAAAATCTTTAGTTAAATACCTTCCCATTTTTTAAATACTTAGCCCTTAACCCTGTAGAACTGTTTACAAGTGGACCTTGTAATCGAATAAAGATGCCTATTCTAAAAATGCCAATAAATGCATATTGAAAAACGTGATTTGTACAAATTGTAATCTTGCTAATAAACAGGGGTCAATTAAATCTGGGGTATCTGAATGACCTATAATGCGAATAAAAATTCAATTCAATAATAGAATTTCGAGTGCAAACGAAGATACTCTACTTTTTCAGTTTAAATCTTGGGAAGATAATTTATTTTCTACGACCAAAATGAATGAACATGACTGAACGTAACGTAAAACAGTGGGTACTTCGTATTCATATCTATAAATAAAAAATTGTCACCAAAATTTTACAATGTCATTACATAATGCCCATATATAATGGAACAGTTACAGATTAGATAAGTACCTAATTAGTACTTATATACGCCGTGACATACATTAAAAACATTCGAAATAGGTACATAAATGTTTATTTGTATATATAAACATATATACAAATAAATGTAACTTTGAGCCTCCTTACCTGAACTAAATAAGTAGATATTGTTAGTTCTTAACACATAACAAAGGGTTATCGAAAAAATGTGTCAATTAATTTCGTAATGAATTCTCATAAAGTATCTAAATCATGCAATTAAGGCCAAATAGCTGACTGAGGGAAAAATGTATGTTAAAAATATATAAAAATCCTCGTATAAACTGTAAAGTTAACATTAAACGCGTAGCTAACTTAGCATACAAGTTACCTGCAACATCCACGTACAAGTAAAAGTAGGTCAATACTGAAAATACCTTGGAAGGCACTTCTTTAAATACAGATAACTTGGCTGACAAAAAAGTGATTATAATATTTTTCAATGGATTGAAATTCATTGAATGGGCGACTCGTTGAAAATGCAATCCATTTTAATTGAAGAAGCAAACAAAAGAATAGGTATCAATTGACATTATACAACTAGAGAGAATACTTAGTGGAATGGTATAGTAAACTGTTACGGTGTTATTTAAATTGTAAACCATTCTATTGTATACCAAATTTTGCGTTGAGAATTTACAGCAAAATTAAAATTAGAGACGTCATGAGAACAGCGAGTTGGCAACGTCGCGTACGCCATATTTGTTATAACCCTACCAATTTTAAAACTCCGTCTAGCTAACTTGCACAGCTTGCTACACACGTACACTCATATCGATTTTGAAAAGAAATGACGTCATTATGGATAAAAAAAACTACGTTGGCAAAAATAGGTGTATACGGCTTCAAAATACCACGATGCTTGACCCTGTAGGAAACAACACCTAGTATCAAAAGTATCAAATCATTAATCTTAACAGACTCAAATTGAGCCTACGTTACTCGGACACGTACATCATCTTCACTTACAAAATCGCCATTAAGTACTTAAAATACCAAGAAAATACGTGAAAGTTAGAACATTATCGAACTATGTATAACGAATAATGTTAATATAAATTTTTCTAAGGAACGAGGGCAAATTCCTCTTTGTTCTTTGATAATACTGTACCTAATTTTCGTCGCAACAATAAGCATTGGGAATAAATCTCCAAAATTCACAAAAATAAATTCTGCGCAGTTAGAAATTCAACATGTGTGGCAGAAGTCAGTACTGTTACTGTTCATAACCACCACTTTCAAGTAATTTAGTAGAGAGCTGAACAAGCAGGCAGTGGGTGGCCGTTCACATTTCACAATGTCTTGCTGTACGCTGCGCCCAGCGCAGAGTGGTTTAAACCGATGACGTCAGCCTTCTAGAATGGCAAGTTATCTACGTCCTTCCTTATTTCGAGGTCACGTATCGTGTGCCGCGCTCACTCACACTACCGTAGGTATTACACACGCTACAATACACAGGCGTATATAGTAACCTCAAAAACGACACAAGCGAGACAAATGAACTACACCTATAACCCTTTCATTTTGGCAGCATATTATATGATATTGATTCATACAAAATGCACTAATTTCCCCTTTTTATATATGAAAATTATAGACACACAACATGGCGCAGACACCATTTAAAAATTAAACCCATTTGATAATATAAAGTTACCAACACCAAAAACCAACAAAATACATGACAAAACGAACGTGTACCCACCTATTGCAATTTTTTGACACGACTTAAAATTAATGTTGTCATGCACTATTAATAGCTTAGTAGCTCCAGAAATCAAGAAAATTCATTTCAGATCAATAACGTAAAATGCGCCGTTGCCAGCTCGCAAGCGCCATTTTGTATATAATATCAAAACCTTTATCGGATCCCATGTAGATGGTGAAACGCTCCCCGAATTCTTATGGAACGCGAATGTAAAAAATTTGGTGTAACATGGATGTTGCACGTGTACATAATGGCAAAAATTCTTTCTAATGAAGCACTTTATAGGGGCACGCATTCATATGCACCTAGCAAGTAAATAATACATAAGTGTTACCAATCTTACATTAATGAACGATTCACTATGTGCGACTACTATACGCCATGTAAAATGGAATTCTTTCATAGCATTGCTGCATAGAGACGTAAAAATTATGAGACGCAATATTAATTTCGGACTCGAACGACGACTGCAGCGAAACAACAGCAAAATGAATAGTTCCAATTTCACACACATCAGTTTCCGTGGCGCTTGTGTATACGTTCGATTTTAATGCCATCTATCGAAAACAAAGCTAAAAGTGCAGTCATTTCCCGTAAGTTTTCACTATTATTATGTTTTATGTACTCAACAGATAATTTTAAGAAATACTTTATATACAATAATTTTTAAAAATGATTTTAATTTAAGTTTTGTTACGTTTGAACAATAAGTAAAAAAAATATGAATAATCAGATACGAAACGTTTACATACCAGTTGTTCATGTTGCCACATTAAAGTCATAAAATAGAGATGAACTTACCTTTATCGGTTTTCACACAAAAATCACAAAACGCCACAATTTCATTAAAATTAGCCCATTTAACACTCTCATTTCCAAAGAAAATATTGCGGGAAAATGTTGCATATTTTATTGATATCATAGACAATAAAAAAATATGACATTCGGACTTGTCATTGCGTATGTGTTGTCATTTTTTTTATAAAATTGTGATAAGTCAGCATTTCACGTTTAAGTAGAAGTTGATAATTAATAATGGATATCATGAAAGACTGATTGCTTAAAGTATTGAAAAATAAGATAATATTTAAGCGTTACTTAATGTAAAATGTGAATTACTTAACCAACAATTTTGCTGTTGATGTTTACGTGAAGGAAGGGTTGTAATGATGTCCGAGCCAAATAATCCTTTTTCTGATGTGTTGGGAGTGTCGGAGGCGAAATCTGCAAGCAATGGAGAATTTAACGTAAGCTCAGAGTTAGGAATGAGTTCTAAAAAGTCTCAGGATGAGCTACAAACACAAATGATGAACAATGTTATTGAAAATATTTTCCACTTTACAATTAACGCCAAGGCTCTTGAAGGCGTCCCTGCTTCGGAGAAGCAACTTGTATATTTGGAGGAGCTTGCTGATGTTATGAAGCCTCGAGTCCATATTGACTTGGAAGCACTTGAACAGGCTTTATTTGAACGGTTGCTATTACCTGAAATAGAAGCAAGTGTTATACCTAAAAACACACGGGTGTTCAAAGAGTATGTTATCCAAAAGCAAGTGTTTCCATATTTGTTTAGTTCTATACAGAATCTGTCAAGTTATGAACATTTAGCAGACTTGAAGCCTGCTGTACGGAAAATGAAGGAGTTGATATTCAGGAATGCAGTCACTGCATTGAAACAGCCCGCATTGTTTGAAGGCCAAGACTTTTCTCAACAGATTCATGAATTGCTCCGGCATGTTGACCCTCAGAGCAACACATTTTTCATTGATGTTGTAAAAGCATTTGTGGCAGATGGTAAGAGAGCAAATATTGTGTAATTAATTTTCATCTGTAAGAGCAAGTTTCTTTTGTACAGTAAAATTTTAGACATTTTGCCACTTACTGTAACATAACATTGCATTTTGGCACCTTCCAGTTTCTTCCAAACTGATATAAATATTTTGTCATAGAGATGTTTGCTATAACAGAATAGCAATCTGTGGCTTTATTTGTAAATAATATAAGTCGTGTAAGTGTGGCACAACACCTACACTAGACTATTTTGGAAATCTGTATATTATTATTTATAATTAGACATATAAACAAGAAAAATATACATCTATTTTCAGGCGAAGAAGGAGTCCAGGACCAGTTACAAGAGGCCATGATTCCTGTATTAAGGAGAATTCACATGGATGTCAATAAATCTACATTAATCAATCTCCCAATTTATGTGCTACCATCAATACAACTCTTTGCCAGTTAGTATGGTGTACCTATACACGTATTATTAAATACATGTTCTGAAAACATTCTCCTAAGACAATGTATTTAAATAGCAATACTTTATTAGTTTATTAATTTAATTTTTATTTCTTAATCTTGTTTTTAATAAGGCTTGTAACACTTGGGTGTCAATGTGGGCTTTGTGATGTCAATGCTTGTGGGTATGATGATAAAACTTATTTAAGGGAATGCGACCAGCATGCAGACTAAAAACCAAGACTGATGTATTTCTAGAAAATGTTCTGTTCTCAAACCAGGACTTTAGCAGTGGATGCTCTTGGGCAGTTTTATACCAAATTCCTGTCACTTCTCTGTTTCGTGCAAAGAGTGATGAATGTGTGATAAAGAAATTATTTCTGTAGGAAGAGAAATTACCTCGCTTGCTAATTTATTTGCTATTTCATTACCTTCCACTCCATTCTTCTTCGCTTCTATTGATGATTAATTTAATAAACCCATTATCATCACCCATCAGTTTATTACTAGCACCCCCATTAAAAATTTGTCTACAATTATTTCTAATGTTGATTAACTGTTTCAGATAATCCAAATTTATCATTGATCTTGATGGGAATGTGTGAACCAAAGATAGAAAATAACGGCAGGCTTTACCAGGATTCAGTTATAGGAGCATTACTAAGTCTCTCCGTATTACCCAGGACTGCTACCTCACTGCATGAGTTCTTTGACAATCCTATGGATCAGGTATTTATTTTTAAATATATGTAAATGAAGTTATAGCACTGAACATGAAACAAACTAATCATGGCCCTCAATATCATTTCATAAATTGCATCTACAGAAATTAATTCATGTCTATCCAAAATAAGGTCTAACATTGTTTGCAACGATTTACTGGAAGTTGTAAACAACATAACAACTTATTGACTAATAAAATATACTGTGTCCAAAATTTTGTAATGATAAATCCCTCAATTCATTGACTAATTTTTGGCTTTTTTATATTATTTTATTTAGACATTATTCAAATTATTATTATTTTGACATCCTGTTATGGTCTACCATTGTAATTGATCAAAATAACTATCATGTTTACATTAATGTCTAATAATACTATTATTAGTTTTAACTACTATTAGTTTAGTCTATAGAAGCGCATGTGAATAAATGCGTTATACATATACCTTCAGTATGTTTGTATGCCTAAAATTGGGCAGACACAGTGAAACTATACTTATTTTGTTACAAACATGTCAATTTCTGTACAAGATTGGCATGATTAAATGATTTTGATTTAAATTAAATGATATTTTTCAATTTAATCAGATGTGTTTAATTTTATTTTCTTTCACAGAAACCAACATAAAATCAGACAATTATGTTTTAAAGAATAGGATCTTTTACATCTGAGAAATCAATATTATTAGTATAATACTTAAACAAAAAAACTAGCTAGCCGTGGTTAATTATTCTTTTACATTACTATGTTTTACGCAAAAATATAGTTAAACTAAAATAAAATGAATTTTTTTTTAAATCATGATTTTTTTCCAACTCTGCTCAGAAGTAATTGCTTTAAACACACAAAAACAGGCTGCGCAGACACAACCTGTGTTTTCAATTAAATGAATTATAATCGTTTCCACAGAACGTACTCATAAGATTGTCTTATTAAGGGATGGCATATTTTGAATTTATTTATTTACAGGCAGCAACATCCATGATAGAAACGTCAGTATGGAATGCATCATCACACCTCACAAACAATTTGCACAAAATTTTCCTATCGCTATTGAAGGGAAGCACTACAATGAGGAACAGACTGTTAACATGGATTGGAAAGTGTTTGAAGACTAATGTTGCTAGAGGGAAGCTGTGGAATGTTCAGGTAATATGTCGTATCTTTTATTCGTTAATTATGTACAAGAAAAAACCACTAATTTGCCTGTTTTTAAAGGCTAACAACTTAGATTTGACCCCCAAAATGTCTCATAACCTCCTAAGATTTAGCAAACTACTGAGTAATGCGCTAAACGCCCAATGTACAGTCGATAGCACATCAAGCTATACACTTTTGTTTGAATATCCAGTCCAACAGAACAAGATCCATCAATATAATTTTAATTATACACTTCAAGCCCAAGCAAGTAGTATTTTTTACATGAAACTCATATTTTTCTAGATACCTGAGGTCATATCGACCATAAATATTATAGTGCTAAATTTTAATACAATGTTTCATTGTGTGGGCTTTACATTTACGTGATCACAGGAATAATATTTTCTGGGTCTGAATCATTTCACATATTATGTACATTTTGTGGTACTCTGGGCCTATGATGATAATTTGTTTATATAATTAAATTATAAAAAATATCTTTATCTGCTAATAACACTAACATTTTAAGTCAAAAACCAAGCACTGCCATTTCAAGGTCAAAATAGTAATTTGTCACTGAAATACGCAACTATTTTCCAGGCTGGTGAAATCAGTGCAGCAACACTATCATGTGTGTCTGATGGATTCATGCTGAACCTAGGAGCTGTGTTATTACATCTCTGCCAGCCATTTTGTACAACACCAAATGACCCCAAATCTCTTAAAATTGATCCCACCTATGGAGCCGTATTAGTAAGTTTCTAATTAAATAATTTCTAAGCTAATTGCTTATGATGAATGATAGTACTCTTGGTGCCTTTGTGAATGATATCTTTATTAAACTCTTTGTCTTAGTAGAATCATTTAAAACAATTAACCATAACCCATTATGCTGAACCTATATATGAACTAGTATCTTATAGTACTACAAATCACAAACATGTTAGTACCAAAACTTTTTTTACCCTTTCCATAATGCTGTTACATACACGAACATTATTGCAAACATCACATTTTATCTGTAATTCTGTTATGTCTATGAAAAAGACATACTGTAACTTTTTTACATCATAATATTAACAAACTTTTGTGTTGTTTCTCTCCATTTTTTATCCTGCGGCATATGATAATATACTAAATACACTGTGAATATATCAGTATCAGAAAAAGAACAGAAATTATGCACCTGTCATTCTTGTTAATGGTAGAAAGTTTAATTCAAGATCGCACCCTGGGGCAACAAGTCCGGAACACTGGCATTCTTTCCCCTTTGGATAACCAAGGTATTGTTTTTGGAAGTACCTTGTGGTGTGCCTTGTGGTCACCGAAGGCTTCTACGAGGCGAGCGAATAACTCCTTAACGATTAGTTTTGTCTGTAAGCCCCAGGGACAGAGTAGCTCTGGCTGAGATACATCAATCTCAGCCAGAGCTACTAATTGTGATTTTCCCTTTTCAGCCAGAAGAATGTGCAGCAAAATCTGTCCACTTGGACTGTCTACACAATGAAACATGTCTGCTGCCGTTATGCGAAGACGAAAACGGCCAAACCATGAAACGTCCCACCGCAGATACTTATAATTTTGTTACAGAGTGTTTCTTTATGACTCAAAAGTGCATTGATCTTGGTAAGTTTTAAAATTGTGTTTTGACTGTCGCTTTGTTGCGGAATTTTAAATAACTTGTTTTTCTTAGTGACATCAAAACAAATAATAAATCATTTCAGTGTAAATTACTTGAGAGCCTTTATGTGAAGTTATATTGTATTTCAGGAGTTCGTGTTTGTGCTGAGAAACTATGGCGATGCGGCCAGGATCTCGGTCGGGCGCAACGTGCTCTTAGCGATATGGCTGCAGCAGCAACACATCAGCTAGTGGAACCTATGAGACAGCGAACTCAACATCTTATGACTAAGTTAGTATAATTTAATTACATCTAGACAGAACTGCTGTGTTCAGAATTTAAGGATAGTTTGACTCAGTGCTATCGCAGAAACAGAGGACTTAAGATCTTTGAGTATGCAGTGGATATTCCAAAGATCCGCTACATGCGTTTTGCTTCCACATTTGTATGGTAATCGATTATATACAATGATTCAGATAGTCTGAACACTATCTACCTGTCCAGTCTGTTTTTTATCATTAAACTCGATTTTATTTTATTTCCTTTCGATGGCGGCAATAAACAAACATTAATTGGGATTTTTTTATTCCATTTGTTACCACTGGCAACTACTGGCATATTTAAAATTCCATTTGCCGTCTGTGGCAACAACAGATCTTTTTATCCTTTTGTCACTACCTGGTAACATATGAGTTTTCCCCCATTTGTCGCCAGTGGGAACAAAGCCAGTGGTGACGACTGGGAATTAGCGGGAAATGCTGGGGTAACACAAAGGAAACGTGATCGGTTTGATAATCCACTATATTGTTCCGAACTACACGGCACTTTACATATAAGTAACGTTACAAAGTAGAAGTTAATTTGCATGCCTCGCTGGCGTAGCGCGCGGTACATTACCAGTTATGAGCGCGTCACGAGAGAGAGTGAGTTCTAGCCAATAGTCGGGCTGGAGACGTGAATGACATTAGGGCTGCGCCCACAAGCGCTTGTATAGTTGGTACGGGAATGGTGTCCGTCACTATATTAAACAAGTAATAATCAACAGATTCGTGAGCCTTCGCTGTGCCCTCCTGGAGAATGAGATGCTGACTAACCTGAATCGCTTGCAAGCAATGACTTGCACGTGGCTGGTACAAAACGCTGTACGTCCCGATCCGGAAACTCCGCAGGCATGTTATGCGCCTATGGTCATGGTACCCGTTGAGATGCCTATTACTACCCCACCTCCACACACATTAAGGTAAAATATTTTAATCGAGTTCAACAAATACTTTTTTGCTTCTTGATTCTCACTTGACAGCAATTTTTTTATGTGGCATAGACTAAGTTTATGGATATCCCCAACAAACGAGATGAAAATTTTCCTCAGCAATATAAATATCAAAAAGCTTTATAAAAAGAATTTAGATTTATTAAATACTGTAGGGTAATTTTCTGAAAAATTTCATATAGTGGAAATTTTTCCAGGTAAAATTTCTGAAAAGTTGGAAAAATATAATTCGAAGGCCCATATTATGTTCTACGTTTAGATATATCTTTTTAAGTTCTATTTAGAGTGAATTATAAAATTTTGTGTTGCTAAAAGCAAGTTGAGCAACACGAGATTTAAAATGATTGGATAACAGCAAAAAAAAGAATCATAGGCAAAAAAACTTTATGATGGCTCCATCGTTTTCCTTCAGTATCATCATACTTATTCTAACTTTTAACAAGTTAGAAAAAATATTCCGAATAATATTTATTTGTCTGAAATATATGAATATTTCAAAATGGAAAATATTCCGTGACCCAACACTACTATTACATAAAGTACTAAAGCTGTGGAAAAAGACCATTGCTCAGTATTGATTTTACTCAGGGTCCTTTTTAGGAGACTTATTTTAGGTTTAATTATTAATACAAAGAAAAATTCCTTCAAACTAACAGGATTCAAACCTGCATCTGTGCCAATCCAGGGCCACAGCTCTAACACAATTATTACACGATTTAATTCTGTCTTCCCCTTTCCGTCACCAAAGGACTAGGCGTAGGCTTGGGTTCCACCTCTATGTTGTCGATATTCCAAAGATTCGCACTAAGTGTTATGCTTCCACATTTATATGGCGAATGGCTATGGAGTGGAATTCCCTTCCTGGAGACTTGTTCCCTGAATGTTATAACTTGGGCCTTTTCAAGGCGAGAGCGAATAGGCATTATTTAGGTGTGTATCCATCCATCCATCCATCGTCGACCTCATCGTCACTTTCCATCCATGTAATTTATTTTAAAAAATTGAGATTGAGTCAGCAGATCTCACGAATTTCTTTAAATGCTTGTTACAGACCTTTTGTGTTAGGTACTTTTTTAGTAATCAATAGGTAGAATGGTGACCCTGATTTGGCACAAAAGCACATTCGAGTCCTGTCATGTCGAACGCATTTTTCTTTGTGTTCGATCTTTGTAGTATTAATTAATTATAACAAACTAGTGGAGCAATTTCAGAAAAAAATTAAATGAATTATTACCATGATACTCAATAAAATTCAATGTTTTGTATGTGTCCATTTAAGAATTTGTCCTTAAGAGTCGATACTACCTCAGCTCGAATCCAATTTTTTATTTACTAATACGGTTAATTTTGCTTGGGTAGGGAGACCGGCTTCATTTTTTTTACAACCGAAATTGGAGCCATTTGCAAAATGTATATCATGTACTAATACGTGTTCTATTTAGTTGATATAAAAAGATCATTGGTATATGTAAAGTACCTATTCAATACAGCGGTTTTCTTGTAAAATTTCGAGGTCAGTTTGTTTTCTTTTTATCGCGAAAATTTTTAGGAATCATGTTTCTGTAATTATAGTAATAGCACACACACTCAACATAGCCTAGGGAAACCCTGTGTCGCGGGTGCCATGGACACTACCACAAATTACACCCAAACTTACGAGAGAAATAAATGTAGGCCATACAAATATTTCTCCCGACCCGGGAATCGCACCTGAGAACTCTGCGTGGCCGTCCGGCATGGTAACCGTTCAGCCACGGAGGCAGTTAAAAAAACATTTTAGATTAAAAAAAATTATTATATGTTTATATAAATTTTACTATATATTTTTTCCAAAATTATTAATTCAACACTTTCACTGTTATGTGGAATCAACCAGTCATTTGAGCTTGTATCGAACTTAATAGTGCTTACAAGGACTTATTACCTTTTGACTTGTTTATAGATGTATCCCAGAGTTCGTCCTCGAGAACATAGTGGTGCTTATAACGATGGCGCGGCGCACAGTGGGTGCGATCACCGAGGAAGCCGACATCGCCGGCCTCTTGCCACCCGCGCTCACGCTTGTGATCACATTCATGGGCGATTCTGGCAGGACGTACAACCCACATTTGAGGTTTGTTTAGCCTTTATTGCCATTTAATAATAATATTAATTTAGAGATTACAATATAATTATTTATTTCAGGCATAGACCCATATAATTTGTTAGTAACATTTTCACTTAGAATAGGTTAGTATACAGAACCCAACGACACAACATGACATAATATTTATTTAATATATATAAAAACAGTTTTCATTAGCCCAACCCAGTACTTTAGAATTGGGCAATCTAATATGCCTGCAACCATTTTTAGGATGTTGTTGTGGCTACTTCTGACACGAGTGATAAGCGATACTGTTTCCTTCCGCATTATCGCTTGGAAACTGTCTACTTGCGCCTCTGCGAACATGCCTAATGCACTATACTCTCTTGGTAGTCCCAAGCATACTGAAAACGTTATTATATTGAACGCGTAGAGCGTTGTAATTCATATAAATTAAATTATGAACTGTAAAATATAAGCCGGGGTAGGGGTTTAACCTACCATCTTTCAAGAGTCCGTGAGTTCGAATCCGGTCTCGCACTTTTCGAAATTTGTGTGAGAAAGTTAATTTTAAATTTGAAATGAACTTTTTGGTGAAGGTGAAACATCGTGAAGAAGGTTCTCAACCCTCGGGAAACGGGTAAGGTCCCCAACCCGCATTGGGCCAGAGTGGCGGACTGTCGCCTAATCCCTCGCCTGAGAGGAGATCCGTGTCCAGCAGTAGGACGTATAAATGTGTTGATAATTATAAAAATAATAATAACGCACATACTCATAGCCCGACACTAAGGAAACCCCGTATCGCGGATGCCATAGACAACCACAAATTACACCCAAACTCACGAGAGAAATAAATGTAGGCCATACAATTTCTCCCAGTTCGGGAATCGAACCCGGGACCTCTGTGTGGCAGTTCAACATGGTAATCGTTCGGCCACGGAGGCAGTTAAATTTATCGAAAGAAATGTAAAGACAATTCTAGATTCTAACCCACCACTACCCCACACACAGAAATATGTAGCGTAATATACAAAGACTTGGGGGTTTTCTTTTATTCATAGTTTCACATAAACTTACTTTCAACTTCATTTTGTATCACATTTACAAGTAGTGTTGGTGTTCGTATTTTTGCAGCAATTTACAGAACTCACGCAATTTGCTGGGAGTTATACAAAGTAATAAAAAATCCAGCAGTACTGTTAAAAAAACCATCTGGTTCAAACGTCTATGGCATTCCTGTCATTTGCTTATTATACTATAAATAGAAACACAGTGTAGTAACTTAATTTTACCTCTATTTTCCTCTAAACTAAGTTTTTAGTAACATATTATTATTTTACTAAAGACTTTAGTTTAGTGCAAACACACGTACATAGTATACACTTATTAGAGCTATTATTTTCTGAAATTGCAGGGCCCGTCTAGCAGAATGCTTGGAAGCAATGCTGCCAAACCATCCCGACGATCAAATGCCGTTGAGCAGTCTCGCCTCTTTCTATAGAGAGCAACTGTTCAAAGAACATCCCCATCGGTTACATGTATATATATTTTTAATACTCAATTCTGGTACCAAATAGCAGTTGGAATGCAGTTAGCGCGACAACCAACTACTTGTACAGTCAGCGTGCATTACATTTCGACTGGTGTTTGGCAATTGCTACTCTGACAGCATTTTTTTATAAATGTGACGGGACGATAAACTCGTGCGCCTCATGGTAAGCTACACGCCTGTCTGTAACAGTTACAGTGCCACTCGGAGCTTTAAATCTGAGGTACACTGCCACTGCGCCTGTCACCCTGAGACATAAGTTGACAAGTCCCAAGTACCTGTAATTTCACCAGCACTCTTACCCTTCAAAACCGGAACGCAGTAATGCTCACATTACTGCTTGGCGGTACTCTTTCAAAAGGAGCTCGACTGCTACGGATATTCGAATATTTAAATAATGCGCGATGCCCTAATAAATAATGAAACAATTATAGTAATTTTGATTGTCACTTTCGCCTGCGTACGTATTTATTAACTCTTAATTCTTACCTAAGCAGTTTTTACGTTGACCGTACTTACTTTAATAAATTAAAACAATAGTACATTGTGTATTAAGGACGGAAAATAAGAAATTACAAGCGTGTGTACATTAGCATTAATAAAAAATCTTTAAGAACTCGAGTTTTGGATTTTTTTAGCGTCTATGATACAATGCTAAAAATTTTGCTAAGTTTTTATACAGAAAATAATTAAAATCAATTATAAGAAATTCTTAATAATATTTAAGTAGTATGTAAAAAAAATAGGTGATTTGACGTCGATTGCGGACACCAGCCCGTTACACCAAGTATCAAGTTAAGTAGTATGTGGCGGAGTTGCAATAAAATAAAATTTCTGTTTAGATAACATTTTAAGCGAATGTTTTAATTTTGAACGTATGTAACCTCCTTGCTTGAACTTGAACCTGACCTATGTAAGGAAGTATGTCGTGCTAGAAATAAAAAGACTCCTTACAGACCAGGGCTGTAGTGGGAAGAAAAGAGGTCCGAGGGTTTTATTTGGGGCATTATAGTCAAGTTATCTACCATGCAATCATACTATTTATGAACAAGTGTGATGAAAAACAAATTGCAGCTAGTGCCTTGTCTGCTGGACGTGTTCGTGGGTATAGAGATGACGGGACAGAGCGTGCAGTTCGAGCAGAAATTCAACTACCGCCGGCCCATGTACCTCGTTATGGACTTCCTTTGGGGCATGGAGGAACATCGCAACGCTTTCACGTATGTTTTCTCCTGCATTATAAAACGCTGACTAAGTCGGACCCCGGTAACCGTGAGCGCTGGATGAGGATATTCCGGATTCGATTCCCGGTAGAACCAGTTTTGGTCTGGATTTTCTAGATAACGTTCCGGAGTGAATTTCGTTGCTCTGGTACTCATAGTACATAAAATTTTCTAGTTTGAGACCAAGGTAACTGGTATGGTTGTCTCGCAGTTTATTATTATTTAACTTTGTTGAAATTTTTTAACTTCCATAAACAATAAAATTGTTAATTGGTCCATGTTTCATGTTTTATTGATGTCAAAAGCATTATTTCGTAATCAAACACTTGTCACTTGCTACTTTACAAGAGTACCTTACCAAGTACCTTTCGAAACATAGTTTTCAAAGTTCCAACAGTACACTGAACTTTTCAATACATCATTAAAATCATCGTTCGTATGTCATAATCACGACAAAAAAAATTTCAGGCGTCTAGCGAAAGAAGCTGAATCGAATATGGAAGCGGTGCACCCTCCCATATTTCTGCGGTTTGTAAATTTGTTAATGAACGACGCCATCTTCTTGCTGGACGAGGCGCTGGGCAACATGGCTCAGATACGCACCATGCAGACTGCGCAGTAAGTTTCTACTTTTTTTATACCAAGAACGGGACGAACCATAACATTTGCAATGCCACTCAGATTTTAAATCACAAGGATCTGTACGACACTGCACTTGTCATCCTAAGACATAACTTGTCAAGTCCCACGTGCCTGTAATTTCACCAGCACCCTTATTTTCAAAACCGAAACGCATTAATGTTCATTGTTTGGCAGCAGAAATAGCTAAAGTATTTCCCTGGATGAACTGTTTCACATCGAGCTCTTTTGCTACTAAAACTAAGTAGTTTTTTACTCAAAACAAAATAAAATTCGCAATTTTTTATCTAAAATATACAATTAGATTATAGCTTTTATTAACTGAATATATCACTTATATTATTAGCTTCATTATTCGAATTTTAAATGCAGAATCATAATATTTTTTACAAAGCAGGTCATTTTCTAAGAATACATTTTAACACACATAGTGCCAATGGTGTCCAATAAAAATTAAGTTACAATTTATTCCTAATAAATTCTTCTACACTGTAGAATTAATTATCCAATGAGTGGAGTTTGAGTCAGGTCATCGTTTATATGACTTATCAAGATTGGGGTACGTTGTTATATTACGTTACACATAGTATTTCTTGCAATTATGAATAAAATAAGACTTGCGTTTCATTAGATGGTGAACAATAATGCTCTCCAGTATTCATTTTGTCAATAGGGAATCGGACAATTTTTCAGAAAGTGTCTAGAATTAACTAAAATATATATGTACAGCCATGAAAAATAATATTTTATTAAAATAAAGCTTAATAGTCTCTAAAATGTGCTAAAACTACGTTAAAATTTAAATAGAAACAAATTGGCGCGCAAACGTAACAAAATGTCAAATTGAACGCGTGACGTCATTTGTAGGTAAACAAGCTACGAAATCAAAGGCAAGGTGTTATTTTAAAGTTTTTGTGAAGTTTGAAGTCGTTATGGAAAGGAAAACATATCGTTGGTGTGTAGTACCTCAATGTAGGAATACTTCTATAATTACCCCAAATAAACTATTTATTGATGTACCTCGAAAATCCGACATACGAAAAAAATGGTTGGTCCTAGCACGACGAAATGTCTGTAAATTCAGCGATATACTTTTGTGATGATCACTTCGACGTAAGTACAGTTTATGCAGTGAGTGATACATAGATCGAAGCATGTGTTAATAATTATATAGTAAATGTTGTGTTATATTCACTAGTGCCTTTAATTATGTAATGTAATAATTATGTATTCGAATTTTAGCTGCCGAATGATATGGAAAATTACATGCGATGGAAGGACTGTATTACTATCGATTTGAGGGCTGGGGGGGGGGGGGACCTTTCGTGCAAAGTTTCAAAGTTAGGACGTTAATAGTTTTCGATATATCAATTTTTGAAAATTCGAAAAAAATAACCTCAAAAAATCATGTTTTCGCACCAAAGAGTAAACCCCTCCCTCCGAACCCCTGGCGGGAAAAATCTACCCCCAGACCCTCCCCCCTGTCTCCACTTCCTGTGTTATATGAGAAACTAAATTTCCCACCTCTCAAATCGTGCGATGGTAATGTACAGTCCTTCCATCGCATGTAATTTTCCATATCATTCGGCAGCTAAAATTCGAATACATAATTATTACATTACGTAATTAAAGGCACTAGTGAATATAACACAACATTTACTATATAATTATTAACACATGCTTCGATCTATGTATCACTCACTGCATAAAGTGTACTTACGTCGAAGTGATCCTCACAAAAGTATATCGCTGAATTTACAGACATTTCGTCGTGCTAGGACCAACCATTTTTTTCGTATGTCGGATTTTCGAGGTACATCAATAAATAGTTTATTTGGGGTAGTTATAGAAGTATTCCTACATTGAGGTACTACACACCAACGATATGTTTTCCGTTCCATAACGACTTCAAACTTCACAAAAACTTTAAAATAACACCTTGCCCTTGATTTCGTAGCTTGTTTACCTACAAATGACGTCACGCGTTCAATTTGACATTTCGTTACGTTTGCGCGCCAATTTGTTTCTATTTAAATTTTAACGTAGTTTTAGCACATTTTAGAGACTATGCTTTATTTTAATAAAATATTATTTTTCATGGCTGTACATATCTATTTTAGTTAATTCTAGACACTTTCTGAAAAATTGTCCGATTCCCTATTGCTGATTATTGTATTTTTTATTTTCCAAAAATTTTGGACCCTTATTAGCTATCAACAGTAATAGTATTTGCGGCTACCGAGTGTTCCGAGTACCATCTAATTCGATCATCGAGTATACATGATGTAAATGTGAGTCAGGGCAGCAAGGCCAGCTACCTTAATCGTTGTAGTTACAGGAAAATTGTTCTAGAAGAGTATCCATGAATTTTGAAGATATTTTGATTGGCATTCACAGATTTTGAAAAAATGGTACAGTCAGCCAGATAAAAGGCAATTTTACAAAACTTTTTTTTATGTCATTCGATCCGGTCTCTGGTAAGGATCAATAGACGCTATGGGACCAACTGAGGTAAGAGTACTCTAAATGTCAGAAATCGCAAAAAATCTTTTACCACACATTTTAAATGAAAAGTTTTTGTTAGAAACGAAACTGCCCACTACTCTACAAATAAGACTTAAGTAATACCAAATCATAATCATTTAGTTTTATTTTACTTTGAATGTAGTTTTTTCGCAAGTGTATTAAAAAACGTCGTTTGATATACGTGTGGATTTGTCATTTTCACTTGTCTCGGAGTGTTGACCCTCGCCTGTGGCTCGGGCCAAGAAGCCTCGAGACTCGTGAATAATTACTAACTTTCCGCACTTGTATCAAAAATAACTATTATTACAATAAATACAAAATATTTTTGGAATATACGGAGACGTACACACAGGTCAGTAGTTGGCGCTGTCTATACTTCAGTGCAAACGTGATTTTATATTTATAAGTGATATATCACTGATGAGTTACCAGGATTGTATGGCCCTTATTTCGTCTCTATTTCTAGTTATATACTCGATGAATTCAATTCAGCAATTGTAGTACTGTCAGTACAGTGTCGTTTCAACTCTATGCAACTGAACGGTTTATAGTACAAAGTATCAATCTTTATGTACTCTTGATTGCATAGAGAGGTATCATGGAAGTATCTTTTTCTTTACTTTTGTTTTTTAATAAAGGGTGGTCATTTTTTAGGTTATGTAGAAAGCACGGAAAAGATGTCTGCTTCCGTATTCAGTTTACACTTGTAAATATTTATGTATTTTGTGCATTTTTCCAGGGAATCGGGTGCCTGGGCAAGTCTTCCAACTCAAGAGCGCGAGCAGAACCTAGCAAACTTATCACACATCGGCATGTTGGCTCGGTTCGACAATATTTTAGGCAGAGACACTATCCGTACTTTAGTACGACTGACTGCACATGCCCCTTATGTCTTTTGCCATCCTACACTGGTGGACCGCATCGCGTCCATGCTCAATTATTTCTTACTGCATCTCGTTGGACCTAATAAGAAGAATTTTAAGGTTGATATTTTCTTCAAATTTTAATTAATTTTGTTACGTAACGTTGGCCAGTACGCTTTATCAATACTTCTTTATTATACGACTTTCTTTATTCAAAGCCTTTCTGCTACCTCAACAGATAGTCCAACATTAGAGAGCTCTAAAACGAAATACTTTTTTTTTTAATTCCGTAATATGGTCAAAAAAATCGAACTGGTGGCTTATTGGTGTAATTATCTTATACATGTATATTTATTTTATATCCTATTGTATGTTAAGGTAAAAGACATGAAAGATTTTGAATTCGACCCAGCGAGCACGGTTCTGGACATCTGCCGCATGTACGTCGAATTGGGTGATAACGAGCGGTTCTGTGCCGCCGTCTCCGACGACGGACGCTCCTACTCGCCGCAGCTTTTCACTCTCGCCGAAGCTGTACTGGGTAAATATAAAGATAAAGTTATTTCAATATAACTTAATCTATACTACAAATTTTCTAGGATGATCCCTGTGACACATTATTTGACGTTTGTACAGGGATGAGGTAAAGTCGATAGATTTTTGAAGCAAAGGTTCTCTCTTATACAGCCTTGTAGTTTTTAAAATAATGACCTCCCATGAATTGTGTAAAAATAATATTTATTTACACACATATCATAAAGTCTCCATAATGTGTTAAAACCGCAAATTACGACCAGCATAAAGGGAAACTGTTTTGTTAGAACAAATTTCTTATCTGTGAAAATGTTATTATTGCTTCATAATAACATTGAATTCGATGTTATTATTACGTTCAAAGTTCAAACATCTCTGAAAAACAAAACAATTTGATTGGACCACAATTCTAATATCAGTTGAGATGAAGTTTTATTCGAAATGAAATGTCAATAACAAACAATTTTGACAATTTCACACGTTACTTGATATCGAACGATATGACAGTTGGTGCCGATTCTAGTTTGTCTATGAATTAAAAATAAAAACTACGGCTGTGTGACATGCGTGAGAAAAGTTTTTATTTGCCGCCATTTCGCCAGTCGTAACATGCGGTTCCAGGACACATCACAGAGGCCTTATAATATGTGTGTAGAAACAGTGCATGTAACTGTACATAATTAAGCATTAAAACACTCATGAGATACACCCTCACTCATATTTTGAAGCCTTTCGTTATCTAACAGTCACATAAAGTACTATTATTTTATTTCTGATATCCGATCCGATGTTTCTATATAGTAGGTGCCCGAGAAGAAATAAAATAAATAATGGAGTCTCCTGCCTCACGAAAACATTGAATAGATGTATAAAGTGTTTTGTATTGCACTAAAGGCATAAAACATTAACTAAATTAAAATGCCATTTCAATTGATATTTTAATAAATTTTCTCAAACTGACTCATAATGTAAATTAAAAAGATTAAAATCATATCACTAACTTCGTAATTGGTGAAACTCGTGTACGCACTATATTCATTCAATTATCGAACACTTTTTATCGATACCTATACCTCATCTCTAGCAAATGCAGTCTAACGAAGTAACCTTTTGACGTTGTCGTGAAAATAAATTCATTTTTGAATAAAAAATTGTTTCTCTGCTCATTTCTCACTAATTTTGTGTTACTTTTGCTTTAATTTTATGTATTTGCTTAAACAAATATTATTCACTTAAAAGCGAGACTTACAAAAATAGTTTATACAATACGTAAATTAGTGGACGTCGTTACAAGGTTATATCATGTACAATTTTGTGAAGTGTCACAGGGATCATCCTAGAAAATTTGTAGTATAATACAATAGGGTGAGCATAGGCTGATTTCCGTTGATCAGTATTTGTCGGTGACAACAGTTAGTTGTGCAGAATGTGATGGGAAGTGAGCGTGCCCACAGCTCCGGTACAGGGTCAAGAGTACGTCAAGCTTTACACTTAAGACTTAAATCCAACTCTATGCCCCTTGCGATAAGAACGGTTCAAAGTTCATAATGTCAAGCTTGACGCGCTCTTGACTGTACTTATCTGGAAAATAGAGACGGTGCTATACGTACACCCGGGGCGGCTCACCTAAGACGCTAGCTTTATAGAGAACCAGATGAAGTCCGGGCAAACGGGCTGATTTGGGATTAGGACCTGACATAGATGGTCCCTGTGTGGGCTTGCTTGTACAGGTTCTTAAGGAGGGTTACTATAAGCAAAACTTATGTAGAAAGATATGAGACTGGTCCATATTTATTTAGTGATTTTCTTAATTGAAAATGTAAAATCGAAGTAAATAGCTCAGTTAAAGATGAATTTATACATGACGTTGCGATCGTTAAATTGTATTTCTTCTAGAAATTTTTTTAGTCTTAATGAACAATAATTAAAATTTTATGCATTCCAATGGTCCCAATGCTTAACTTAATTAGAGAGATCTTAAAACTATTGTCTGCCCTGAAATTCTCCTTTAGAAAGAGACAACAATATTTTTAGATCTATCAATTTAATGTAGTCTCAAAATCGACTTCATGCTGTTCTTTTAATCTGTAGTCCGCATTGGCGGTGGCGGTCTCATCGGGTCTCTCCAAGAAGTGGCATCCCGCGTAGCGCGCATCGCAGCTCAGCGACAGGCAGACGAAGTGATCCTGGCAAACGCTCCCGAGGAGTTCCTCGACCCTATAATGAGCACTCTAATGATGGACCCCGTCATCTTACCTAGTTCCAGGACTACTGTCGATCGCCATACTATTGCTAGGTATGTATAGTCTATATTGCAGAAGAACAGAGAAGTTCGCGTTTGATAGTTTCGGGGACTGAAACTTGAATTTGGTACGTCTGCCTTCTTGAAACCGCCATATTGTACACAATTTGGTCCCAATTCATTATGACTAGGATCCTTGACACACATAGATGAGTGCTATATACTAATTTCTTTATATTTTTTCAAATATGGTAAGCCATAACATTACCACATGGTTTCTGGCTACGACCATACCATTTCCCCCCTCTTCCGGGCAGTGGCAGTTCACTTTAGTGTGAATCTATGTTTCAGGCATCTCCTAAGTGACCAGTCAGATCCGTTCAACCGCTCGCCCCTCTCCATGGATCAAGTGAAATCGAACACGGAACTTAAGGAGCGTATCCACGCGTGGATTGCCGAACAACGCCAGAAAATTGCTCAAACCACTGCCGAGTAGAGTCGCTGTCTCTGTTTGTAAAAAGTCCTAACATTTTTATATGGCAATAGCCCCAGGAGGGCTAGTACGATAGGGCACAACTAGCGCGAGAGTGACATAAAGCGCAAGATACTGCTATTCTCGCATAAAATTCTCGCGCTTTATGTCGCCATCGTCTACCAATACTTTGCCACTTTGCATAATCAAATCTGTAATAATCATTAAGAATTTAAACCAAAAAATGTTTTGTGTGAATAATCCTGTAGTGCAGCGTTTCCAAGATACTGCATAAATATTGCGTCCGTATCAGGTAAATCACAGGTTTGACTATTGGCATTTTGTCAAGTGAAGTGAAGTGGATATTTTTTTCATTGTGGATGGTAGTTATTCCCTTTGTACATCCCTACTATAAAATATGGTGTCCGATATTTGCTTAAAAGGCAAATCGTTATCGCTACAGGACTTTTCTTAAAATCAATAGGTAACGGATCTATTTTAAAATATACAGCTCAAAACTTCTGTTACGTAGATGTTATATGTGTATAATGCGATACTTGGTATTTCGTTCTTATCTTTGCTTTAAATCGCGGTGCGATGCAATTAATTTTCCGTCTACTGTTCATCTTGAATGAGTACTTGTTTGACTCCATGTCTTACTTGGTGCAATTTATTTTGTTTCTTTATTGTGATATATGGGCAGTTGTTTTGCTGTCCGAGTTAATAAATGTTCAATGATTTATGTATGTAAAATTAATAAATAATAATTGTCTCAATGTTTTAGTTTTATTGGTACCATCTACTGCACTCGCTCGAGTATAGCGCATCCTAGGTCTGTGCTCGATCTCCTGGCTCTCACATGATACTCTGCTCTCCTCTATCTGCATTGTTGATTACAAAAAAAACTTTTTTTGGACTGTGGACGGAAGCGTATGTGTATATTATGGCAACACATTATTTGGGTATTGGGTTTTTTTAATACGCAACATACTTGAATAATATTGTGCATGTTTTTAATTGGAAATAAAATGTTTCTGAAAATTTATACGTTTAATTTGATTTTTATTGTAACTATATTTTGTGATATAAACTGTATTGGAAAAATAACAAAAATGTGTCTGTTCACCGTTCCCTTTCTACCGTAAATGACCTTCATGGTAGCAGCAGCAATAGACAACTATCATGGCGGAGTAATCAGCTGTTAATTGCAATGCCAACGAATAGATGTAAATTATTTCATAATCGTGATTATTTGCAATTTTATACAATTTTTTAATATAATTTCATTAAAGTTATGTCATATATTTACGTGTGTAAATAATTCTTTAAACTGGTAATTAAAACTAAACCTAAAACGGCGCGATGTCATCTGTCAGCTCATTCATCCATTGTAGTGCAGAAAGAATGTGACTTGTTCGCTTTGTAATTATGTTTTTATAAAATTAGTGCTTAATAGACATCAAATGCAGTTTTAAATGATTTATCTACACTTAACGGAGTCTTTAGTTATTGTATTACATAAGAAAATAGATTGTGTTTATTGGTTTGAGTGTCGTTTAACAGGCCTAACAAATCGCCTTTATACAAAGAAAGCCGACGCTGCACGGACTGGCTCGGTAGTTTTGAGGTTTTGTACTGTAAATATTTGTTTGTTTTAATTTGAGGGGTAACGAAGGTTTTGGGAAAAAGATAAAGTTTTCGAATTATTGAGAATGTCGGGTCGTGTACGGAAGCAATCGGATTGCCCGGTGGGAAAGCAGGGCCCGATGCGGGCGACGTTACCGGTCAGTTCAGTGATGAAGCAGAGCGGCGGGCTAAAGAAGAACGCGAGCAACAGCCCGACGCTGTCGCCGACGAACGTGTGGCGGCGGATATCTCCCGATCACGCGTTGTCTGGTCAGCGAAGCCCTGGAGCTGTGAACTACAAAGGTTACCACCAACTTACATCATTTTTCATACTCCAAATTGTCGAAAATTTTATTCACAGTAGAAAAAATAGTAAAACCTTTTAAAGTCTATTTTTTTATTAGAATATTTATTTTTATTATATATTGGGTATCAAATTACTTGATTTCTAGCATAAAATGCCCTAATGAAACCTAAGTTACTTACATTTCATTTAATCATGTCATTGAAATGTTATTAAATTTCCCATTCTTTATAGCTTGGGTGTTAGGTAGCCTTCCAAATAACTTATTATTTGGAATCATCCTAATATATTGGTTGACACATACAGACACGCCTATTTAATATAATACTGTTCAATTTATTATTTGCTTTAAAGCATTTTTACACATAAAGAGCACATAATTATATTTTTAAACAATATTTATTATTTCATTTTTGGCTCGTACAATTAGCTTGCACAATAATGATACTTTCAATAAAATGTGTAAGTCACATACCTCAAAAAACTCAGTAGTTGCTTATGATGGAAAATCAACAACATCAAATTGTATTGGGTGTAATGCAAAACTGAATAGGTCCTGTAAAAACATACCAACAATTAAAATATAATAAAATAATCTACAACTTTTTACTGGTTAACATTAATTAGGTTGTTTTTGCTGCAGGTTATATAAGTTCTGTATTAAACTATGCTGGCATAAAGGCCTTTTTTTACTTTCCATAAAATTACAAGCAAAAATTCAGAAGAAAGAGTTAATGGACCTTTGTACTCATAAGGTTTTCCTTCTCTGAGTAGAATAATCAACAGGGATTGACATTACAAGGCTGACATGGACACCCATGTGTTACAGGTGTTATTAAAAACAAGATGAAAATAAAATTGGATTAAAATTGGATGAAGATATGTGTGTGATGTTAATTTTTATTTTGATACTTGTGCAGTTTGATAGACGCACAGGGACTAAAAACACACATTGCTCTTGTCTCATACATTTTTTCCTTAAATTTCAGGCAAAGGTCGTTTTGGCGTTTGCGTCATACGTCGCACGGCGTCTCTAGACACACTCTATCATAAAGGACAGTGGCCCAGGGACTATTATCTTCATGCTGGACAGTTGCAGGTTGATAAGTCCACACAGGTATGAAATAACAGTAAACAAGTGCAAATTCAAATTAGGAAAATTAAATTATATATTTGATCTTTGTGTAATAATGCATTCACAAGCTTATGTCTTTTGATTATATTTACAACAACCAGTCACTATAGCTGTTCAGTTATGTTTTAAATTGTCTTCATTGCATATTAGTAATCAATAACACTGGAGAGAGGCACGCTATCCATATCCGTATATCCATATTTCCATTATCCATATATGGTTTTGAACAAATTGGCTGCTGAATGCTTTTAAACAGCCAAAATATAGGGTTTTAATCCACCATGATCAAAAATAATCTCTCCGTGATTCTAACGGCGCCTGTAGGATATATGTAAAAGCTTACATGAACATTGATTTGTTATAAACACTTAGAGAACCACGTTTTTCGTCTAATTGACAGACTGACGATGGTGGTGGAGCGTCGGGCCGCTCGTCCCGTGGCTCTGAAGATGACAAGCTGGATAGGTTTCTCCGTAGCCGTTTACAGCGGCCGCACAAACCTTGCGCCTCGGGCGATTACTCCACCCATACAATGAGCCCAGGTTTTTGTAAGTATTATTGTTGCACTAAGGGCCTCTTCAAATCAGACGCAGAAACGCTGCATTGGTGCGACATCCGCGCGCTTTAGTAATTTTTAGTTCACTAATTGTGACTGCAATAGTGTCGCGCGCGTGTCATGACAGTTGCGCTTTTAAATTGTATGAAAATTAGTACTGGTGTGACTGCAGAGCCACTGTGGTGCCACTGCAGCGCTTCTATTAGTGTCTTATGACTAATGATTTCCTATTGGATGCTGGAATTGTGGCGTTAATTTTACTTTTGACATCAATATGCATGAATTATATATCAGAAGAATAAAATTACTTCAATTAAATTCCGCAACTTCGAGAAAGTTCACGTTTAAGTATAGGGAAGGAAAGTCAAGGAAGATGAAAGAAAGTGCCCTTCAGGTTGTACCATTTCATTCAAAGTTTGGTTACTTTGAACCATATGCCTCTAAAAACAAATAAAAAAAGGAATAAATCAAATCATATTACACTATTCTTGTTGTTTGTAGAGACATTATTATGTTCTTGTTATACCTACATAACTACCTGACAATTGCGAAATGTGAATATTGTTTAAGAAAGTTTACTCATCTGGTCATAAAGTTTTCACAAAATTATAATGCAATGTAAGACAATTTATATTAAATATATACTTTTTACTATGTTGGACTATAAGTTTCCCAAACAAGATGTTAGGATTCGTGTTATTGGACCCTTTGCCACTGCTACCTAGTAACTATTTAATACTATCCAATGAAATATAATTTAACGTCACCTAATGTCACTTGCAGGGTCTCGTTTCGGAAGCGGCAGCGTCCCGCTGCGGGCGGCGCGTTCTTCTGTGGAGGGTTTGAACCAGGAGATAGAGAAACTCGTGCTTTACCCGGCCAGCGGGACACAGACCCCGCATCTGGACAGACTTAGAGATAAAGTACGCTTACCATTACATTTAATGACTAATAAGTTCCTACCGATCTTGAAATGGTGGCGTTTTATCAATATAAGCAATCAATTTTATAAACTTCCACAAGATGACGAGCTGACCAAACTGATACTTTGTATTGCTACTGTGACAAACCACTAACTGTACCTGAAAAAGAACTTAAAACTAATTAGGACCTAATCTAACACTAAAACTGTACATTGTAATAATTATGTAACATAAACTAAATACTCATACATGTAAATACTTTATTTACGTCTAACAAATAGCATAAAAACTCTTCTTTTTCCTGCCCTTATCCCACGCCAGGTGGGGTTGGCATAACATATATTTTTCTTCTCTCCCCTATCAGCTGTCATTTTTATACTCACACCTTTCTTATCAATGTCATCTTTCACACAATCCATCCATCTTTTTTTTCGCCTTCCTTTCACCTTATATCCCTCCACATTCATACCTAGCACTCTTCTCGTCACATGACATTCTTCCCTCCGCATGACATGTCCATACCACGCTAACCTATTACTCCTCATCTTTTCCGTCACTGGCGCCACTTTCAAACTTCCCCTGATGTACTCATTCCTTATCTTAATCCTTTCTCGTCACTCCACACATCCATCTCAACATTGGCATTTCCGATACATGCACAGTTCGTTCATTTTCACTTTTCATCGTCCAACATTCTATCCATACAACCGGCAGGTCTAATCACGGTCTTGTAAATTCTCCCCTTTAGCTTAAGGGGAATAGCATAAAAACTAAGTAACAATAATTAACACTGTTTCCTGGTGCCTATCTACTGAAAACACTACAGCACGTTTAAAAGAGCATTTGTTGACTTACTTTTTATACAGTAACAGAAAAGGTGAAATGAAATGAAATAAAAAAAGTATTTCCTTAAAATATGGTGAACAAGAGATGGACCACAGTAGAGAGATAGAGCTCATATTTTACCGCACCTGGCATACAAAATTATGCTTATAGTGATTGAATGAATTCATTAGATTACAAATCAAGTTAGTAGACATGCAGGAAACATCCTTAATGTTCTAATTTTATGTCAATACATAGTCAATTTAATTAATAACAAAAATTATGAAAGTCAAACAATTACATAGTATTATAATATCAGTAGTAATTTATACGTCAATGTTTATTCAAGAAATTGGTGATACATAAGGTGTAGGCCTGGAACCCTGTTCATATACATCATATGATAATAGCTGTATGGAAACTTCTCCAGTCTTCCATTAATTCTTGAACAGTCAGCAGTACTGACTATTAAAGGATACAAGAAGGTTTGAAAAAAATTCAATATTTGTAGTATTAAATTGTTGTTAGCTTGTAAAATAGTTTAATTAAATGAATCGTATTCCAGGTAACTCCCGAAGGGCATAGAGCGCCGCTCGCGGAATTACTTCGGCGCTCCGTCAACACGCAAACACCACACGATCTTCACACTGCTCACTCGTCAGGTAATTTGAGTTTGTAATCGCACCTACCCCCTAACCATTTAATTTTAAATCAGTCTGAAGCTAAGTTTGAAATGTTAAGTCCTGTACATTTTTAAACACAATTGATTTCAGAAATTCAAACATGAGAATACCCATTTGGATGAACGTTCAAGTTGTTTAACGTTTTAAATATTTTAAATTTATCAGTACTAGAGTTTGATGCTTCTCTGGGCCACGCCTGGGTTATCCAGACCACTGCCAACCATATGGTTCAACTGAAAATCGAACCTGTCGGCTCTATGATTACTTTCAAGAGTACTGTATCGCACATACTGTAACCAAATACTATCGTAACTAAAAATTATGGAATTGAGAAAACAACGTAAAAATGAAAAAAACAAATATGGAATGAATTTTTAATTTTCAAATCGTGATTTCACAAATTCACATTTTTGAGTTACGACACTATTTGGTTTCGTGGGCGATCACTTACTACAGTGCCTCTACCATGACTTGACTGTTACAGTTGTCGCTAGCGACCGCGTAAATAACTTCCCAATTTTGTATGGCAAATTATACGGCGCCCCTAGCGGTTATGAGAAGTAACATTTTGTATATAAATATTTTACGCTGTCGCTAACGAGAACTATCACAGTAAACTCATAGTAGAGGCACTGTATTGAACATTGTATCAGAAATGTCCCTTTTGTGACTTTTCTATCTTCATCCAATATGGTTTTGTATTAAACCAATAATTTTATAATTATCACTGTAAATGTATATTAAAATTCCCATCGTATAAACGGTGATAAATTGTGGGTAGATCCACCTTCGCGAGGGTCATTCTCCAGTGACGGTTCCGCAGAGCTACTGGCCACAGGTCTATGAACAAACTTACCTTATAGACTACTCCCTTGTAAAGCATTGTACACACACAATGTTTGAACATCCCCAGCATGTTTTTTATTTCTTTTTTGAACGCTTATAGTAGGTAAGTGGTAACGTTACTACCGCTTATACTAAAAGGTTTTATTTTTAATGTAGCATATAGGGTAGCAACACTTTACATAAATATTATGCTGAGTTGGATTGTTGGCGTTAAAATTTAGCTTTAGAGTGATTGCACACGCCGAATTTAGCAGCGATGCAGTAGCGATACAGTCGCTAATCGCGTACCTTTACACTCGCGCGATTTTAAGCAGCGATGCAAGCACGCAGCTGCATCGATACAAACACGCGATTGCATCGCTACACTTGGGATTATAGGCGATTGCATCGATCGCAAGTGTAGCAACGCGTTTGCATCGCTGCTAAAAGCCGCCGTGTGTAACCACTCTTAGTTTTTATTTGCCATTGAGTGACTCGAGTAAAACGCTATTTATAACTTGAATGTCAATAACTACAAACCCACATGGTTTGCGGAGGGCGGGAGAAGAAAACTCTCGACCAATCACAATACCATGTAATCACGGGATGCCAAATTAACGTACATGATTTGTCGATAGCATCTTCCGAAGCCTAAGGCAGCGCGATGATTGGTCAAAAGTTCTTCTCATAGATGATGAAAGAGCAGAGTCAATGACATTTTAGTGATACATTGTACTGAAGAGTGTTGTTTTCTCAGGTGGTAGTGTGTGTTCGTCACCAGATCTGGATGGATCCAAGCTCGGAACATCGCCGCAAATAAATCGTTTCTTAGCCCGCGAACCCCCGGATGGTTGTGAAAAGGTATGTTAACAATTATAGGAATTTATGATGCGAAGAATGAGTATTTTATTACATTTTTTCGAATAAGTAGCATAGGCAATAATCAAGTTTTTATTTATGTGGTTCGGCGTAGCGTGGGCAGTTATATCCTGCTGATCCTTTTTCACTTAGCTTTCTAATGCTCGTGTACATTTCACCTCCATGTACGAGTAAGAAGAGTAGAACCGTTGGAAATTTGATATGCCAGATTCATATATGGATTTCGAAGTATTCTTATTGACTATTATTGTTTGAATTTTAGGTGAACTTAAAAGCCGGCGAAGGCGCATACGCAGAGTCTGTGTCCGTAATGAAGCCGGCAGTACCAGGCTTCACGCTGCGACCATCACTCGGTTCAGCCTTTCAGCCACTACAACCCGCGCCATCGTCACACTCCCCCTCTACTCCCCATTAATCCTCCTCTACTCCCCATTAATCCTCCTCTACTCCCCATTAATCCTCCTCTACTCCCTCCCTTTGTCTAGCTCAGCTGGGTGAACAAAATTGCCAACTAAACTTGGCAATCGGGAATAAACCCCAACTGAAATAAAGTTCATTATCCTTATTTCATTTGACGTAAGGTTGAAATGAAGGAAGTGATGTTCGATGAAATTTTCTCAATTGCCGATTTCGATATGGTAAGCTCTACATGTTCTTTATTGCATTATCTATTGGAAAGTCTGATATAATGATGGAAATGAAACTATATTTTCGGAATTAAATCGCGTATATTTGTTTTTTTTTTCCAAATAAACCAGCGGCTGCTGTCAGTTCTAGATCGACCGCGACAAATACGCACGATTTAGTACAGCAATTGTTTCATTTGTAACATATAGTTCCGATCTGATATAACGAGTTGAATTTTCATCATGGAGACCGTGTCACTTGTACAATACTGACATTTACTTCAAATGTAACACATCTGACCAATTTTGTTTGAACTTTTCGCCATCAAAAGTCCATACTGATGCGACCATTGCAGGATCCAGAACTTAAACATAACGTTCTATAGTTGCATTTGTTGGCAACTGATCGCCATAATGCAACATGAACAGCTTAGATGCTAAATTGTTCTTCTCGTCATAATGCAAAATGCAGCTAAGGAACACCCAGGTACAGGTCCCCTAATAAATAAACAATGAGCGTTTAATGTCTTTTAATGATTTAGAGTGCATGTAGCAATATATCTTCAGTATTTTGACTACCGATTTATAATTGCCGTTTCACGTTTACTAGAAACAAAATACTGAAATACCTTATCATATTTCACGTCATTTTATAGTTTTTATGTATATTGTACAGACTTATCACTAATTAGCTATAGGGCATGAAGGGCGAGATTTCTATGCGAAACGAGCAGTATGTCGCTCCCGCGCTAGTCGCGCTCTATTGTGCTAGCCCGCCTGATGTTGGTATAGAGACGACTAAAATATTTAGGTTGGAATGTAGTTCCAAGTTCAAATATACCTTAAGATTGACAAATTAGTCGTAAGTCATCTTTAACAGGTCACTGGAACATTGACATTAAAATTCAATAATACTATTTCAAGGTCCACCAGTAACTTGTCGCCAGCTTTTACTGCTACGTAATGTACAACCACTTTAGAAGTAGTGATAAACTTGTACAATATAATTAATGACTTCGTTTCCCTCTACCATTTACAATAACAAAAAAGACAATTCAATAATCCAACGTAACCTACATTTCCTTCACATCAATTAGTATATTGTCGTAGGGCACGCCCATTTCATTCCACCTACTTGTTCTTAAAATCTGCTGAGACAATAATGAATAATAAATACCTAATCTTTATTTAATTGTTATTACAAAATGGTTTGTTTGAGTTTAAACTTTTGTATTATTTGAATGATCGTCAATTTTCATTGATTGTGAGTGAGACTTAAGAATTTCTTTGTTTTAAAGTAAAACTGTGTTATAAAACAACCAAAGCTATTTAAATACAGCTCGCAACTAGATTGAATTTCTATCAGCTGTACTTTACTAACCAAAAACAAATCAAACATTCGACAATGTGAGCATAGTGTAACGATAATAACTCGTAACGAATGCGTTATTTAAATTTTAAATAGAACTTGTAAGGAAAAATATGTTTTTCTGTTTTGTCTTAAGTTATATTTTAGTTACATTTTGTATAACATACACTACTAAATCTGACATCATGACCGGTTATATACTTGATCTCATTTCATGTATTATAATTATGTACATAAATTTATATATCACAAAAGAAATGAAATTGAAACATTGTTTCATGGCTTATTTTATTATAATTCTCAATGTGATTATTATTATTTTTTTAACTTTAATATGAGGACATCGCCCTCGGACCAATGCTTAAAAGGCCTGAATATCATATGATCCAGGTAAACGTGTCGTTCAACTCGATTTTCTAATGGAAAGCTTTAAATTGCGGAATTTGATAGAAAATGTAAGACAACTGACTGAATTTTATAAACTTTACTCATACACTGATACAGGTATCTTGACAGTTTATAGGAGCTATGTAGTTCGTAATAAAGTGCCTCTTTTGACATAACTTCTATCCTTGTAAACCCCGTCTTGCGACGACGATATTGGTAATCTATCGTACATTCGGCAGTCCGGGAACAGAAAACGTCACCAATACCTGTATCAGGTATCATGGGTACACACGGTATTTGTTTTGTAACGTTCGTTTAGGGAAGATGGACCATGCCAGTTGGATCTCTCTTGGCCAAAATGCATTTTTATCATCGAGACTGATAACTAAGAATGTTCACAACCTACACAAAATAGATCTGCTTTCAAGTACGCAATTATTTTTTTAAAATTTTGTAAAAAAAAAAAATTCGATGGCAAATAAATATATTTTGGATGGCTCACCTTTGGATAAGAGTATTTTAAACCTTTCATTGCTCAAATCAAAATTTTATTAAGAGCCATACTTAAGATAGTCGCAGTTTTTTAGATATTGAATTTTGTGAATATCAGCGAAATGTATACTTAGTATGTATCTGATTAACAGAAAATGAATGTGATATTCTAAGTGAATCGTTTGAATATGTATGCTGATTGTGACGTAACAACTTTTGATACTGGTACTAGTGCTTTCGTATCTATCTATTGCGGCTTAAGAATGCGCTATATATAGCATACCATATTCACGAGTTGTGAAGTGTTTCAAAGGTGCTGAGTAGTGATTCTAGGTGTGTACAGTTATTGGCTTGGGACAGACGCGCGATGCAGGATTGTTTAGCTTCCGATCTAACCAGATAGTTAACGCGTTTCCACACGAGATTAAAAAAGCGATCAATACCACCAGCAAAAGATTCAGGAATTTTTGACATTGTACAAAATTATCTATTATAAATTTTTGAGCATTAATTCTTTTAATATTTCTAAATCTATAATTGATTTTAATTTAAAATTATTATAATTATACGCTGTGCAAAGATATAGATGCAAAAACCGAGCCAATATTAAAAATCCCAATTTCTGTGTAAATTATACCACTTATAAGTGCAAAATTTAACTTAGCTGTAATGTTAAAAGAATACATATTAGCCATCCGTACATATACAATATCAATGTTTCAAAAATGTCTGTCTATTAACACAAAGTGTACTTGATTACTGTGCTGTTGCTTCTACAGATGCTCTATAACTTCGGTATGAAGTGTTAGCTTAATATAGTTATGATTATTTGCCTTGCTACTGTCTGCTTCCATAAGCTTGTAGACTCCCACATCCAAACAATACTACATAATGCTTTACTAACATAGAGTTTATGTCACAGGTCCAGGTTGTAATTTAGGATTTAATATGTAAACTTCTCCCAATGTCGTTACCTAATATAAGTTTTAGTAAGTTGTAGCAAAGTGGCCCGAAATTTATTAGCTGTTAATAAACGTGTGCTATATGAAGGTCCCCTTACTATTATTTAAAATGTTCCACATTATGTGGATAATGGTTTCTACAGAAAAATGTCTTATATTGTGTGAATTTTCTAGTTGTTGGATGAAATTTTTTAATATATTGTAAGACACTTTTATGAAGGAATCTAAGTTTTTAAAAGTACATAAATATTTTTGTATGTTCAGGGTAGGATGTGAGAGATGTACCATAAAAGTAACTCGGATAGGACCTTAGATTTGATAATTCTTTTATAGATGGTTAATATTATTTTAAAGTTTGCTTTTAGATGAATGGATAAGTTTGTAATTTTTATTATGATATTAGATTAAATACTAACATTTAAACTAAACCAAAAGTGCCCATTGAGATAAGTTTATAATGGAGCAAGTCTTTTGTCTGGCACTTTGTTACCGAATAATGTTTAGGCGACAAAATTAGGGAATAAGTAAAAATTATCGAAGGATTGTTAAGTTTAAGTTATCTAAAATTGTTGAGGTTATTGATGAAAAAATGATTTAGTTTTTTGTACAATGTGGTGCTATACAAAAGGCTTGTTTATTTAGAGGCATTAATTAACATCAATATAATAGTATCTACTTTAAGTATTAATAAGGATGGTTTTTATTATAGTTTTGTTTCAGAGAAGAAATTCTAATTACTATTTTTGTTTCCAATATTTTATCACTTTGACCTGTTTTCACTGTAATGTATCTTGCTGTATTGCAGACATATCCAATATACAGACTGATTTAAAATATTCATTTTTCATTTATCTATCCTCAAATAGACCATTCTAGACTCAAAAAGAGCTGCCCCTGTAGCATGGCTACGCATGATAGTCGCGACATACGCGATAAAATTGAAATAAGCGCGCGCTATTTCAATTTTATCGCGCGTGTCGCGACCAACATGCGTAGCCATGCTACTGGGGCAGATGCGAAGATTTAAAAAAAAGAATTAATAAACATTCAAAAAATTTATTGAAATTCCATCTGATTATGAGGCAAACTTTCCAATTACAGCTTTTATGTTTAATGACATGAAAATACAAATTTTTGCTTTAATCAAAAGAAACTATTTACACATACATCCTCTTTTATAAAAATAGCAATCAAAATTTTCCTAAAAATTACTTCAATACTGCAAACTACGTTTTGTTTGTATATCATCTAAAAGTATTCTTAATTCTTCATCTTCAAATCGGCCTTCTAAAGATGGAATTAGAGCTTTCGCTTCTTCAGGTGTTTCTGGACATAAATTTGCTAAACTTGCCACTTCGAATTTATGCAGTTTCTTTGACTGTAGGAGGCTGTTGACAAATGATATCAATTTAGTTTAACTCTTAACTTACTGAAGTTAATTGGCCGTCCATAACAACCGGAAACTGGTCCATCTCAAATCTGCAACTACTGCAAATTAAAGAGTTAAATATGGTCTGATTCAGGTATGTTAGGTGCTGCGTAAACATGTGTCCTGTTGAATACAAGCAAAATAACGGAATATTTTGTTTTCTGATTAATTGACGTTTTACCTTTCCAGTGTCAATATATTTGTTTTGGACATATTTGCAAGTAGCGTCCATAACAGCTTTGCCATGCATTGTGGGTCATGTTACAATGTTAAGTAGTCATAAAATATAAAACTTCAGGGAAATCACTTACTTTCTAACTGCTGCTATAGTTTCCTTATTCTTAAACTTTTTAAACATGTTGGTATATGTAAGCGTCTTCATGAAGACTTCTGAGAATTCCTGCTCCTCTTCGGCCGACTCATTTTGAGCCTTTCTGTGTTCTAGCAGCATATCTACTTCCGATATGAGAAGTGTCTCTGCATTTTCGAATTCTGTAAGAATAGGTTACTTATTAAGGGCAGAGATCGATTAATTTCTAAGTGAGCAAAACTACCATTGTTCTGCCCACTGCACACACAACAGCAAAGAAGCATTCAATTTAAATGAGGAAAAACAGAAGTAATACAACATGCTTTATAAGATAAAACCATTGAATGCTAACTGCTAGCGTTTTCCTGAAAGTGAATAGACCTTTAGGGAACTGCAAATCTGCAGCATCTTCTTCTATAACGTCCTGTATAGGTCCAGACATGTCTAACACAAATTTTGTGTCGAAACTGCACGAAAAAATATTTATTTAAAGACAATATTTGAGCGCGTCCACAAAAATGCACATCTGTCACTGTCAATTTTCTTTTTTTTTAAATTTATTTATTTTGACTCTATGGAAGAATCTGTGTCGGTGACTATGTGTTGAGTATGTAATGGAAGAATTTTGAAAAAATCATATTTTCAGGAAAACAAAAGTTGAAATATTGTTCTTTTTCACTGTTGGAAAATCATTTTAAGTCTCGTTTTTCTGTGGCTTTTAGCTTCACAAGTTTTTTTTATAATTCACGTTAAATAAAACTCAAAAAATATTACTAAACGGAGAACATAATATTGGCTTTCAAAATTATATTTTTCTAATTTTTCCAATTTCTCGGGAATTTTTCCGGAAAAATGTCCACTACCTGAAATTCTGAAAATTACCCAACCCTATCACTACCACCACAAACCACAAAACCATCACCTTGTTGTTGGCTCCATCGTTTTCGCGAAGTAACTTCAACTTTTGACAGGTGTCAACGTCAAATGAGGAAAAATATCGGAAAAAATATTTATTTTTCTGAAAAATATGATTTTTTCATAATGGAAATTTTATCATGACCTAACACCAATAATTAACTATGAGATGAGTATTTAAAACTTAACGAAAAATTATAGTAAACATTTTTAGATTAGTCACAGTCATGCCTAGACTAATCGTCATCGACAACCTTCTTCACCTGTACATACATACATACAAAACTGCTATCCAGTTTTATTTCATTTCGTAAAATTAATTTTGAAGACTCCTGAAATTGTAATGAAACTTAGAAAGATATTACTCTCGGTCTTGGCTGTAAGGTGCACCAGCCTTTGCCTTTTCCAGGAATGGAAAAGTACTAAAAAGAAAAAGAAATACAATTTTTTGTATTAATCGGAAAATTTTTAAAATTTTATGAAATAAACACTAAATATTTTTTAAATTAAACAACATCAGACCATGTCTACCACTCCTGCTAAAAGTCCAGAGCGTTTGCACAGCTTCATACCTAAAGGTAAACATTCCAAACTTTTTGTAGTTAACAATTCGTTTTCTGAACACTTCGTATTTTTCAATTCTTCTGCAAGAATTCGAAATCTCATGTTTGTCGATAATAACATGAAACGTTATAATGCTCGTATCTATACAAAATTCGCAATCTAACCTAACCTAATTTTCTAATACAGAAACAACAACTCCTAACAAAAATACACCTGGAATATCAAAAACAGTGTTCACCCACATCTCCGACTTACACAGCTTACTTTCCGACTGGATACGTCTCCGAGATAAAGGTACTCGAATATGCAAGTCTATGTCAGCATTGAAACTGCACGAATTTACTGATGGATATTATCCACAAGCATTGACACCTCTTTCTGAGACGATAATGGATGTTTTGGAGGATTTAATGCGTAATGTTGAAGGTAAATTGGTTTATTCATTTCCTATACCATACTTATTGAATAGATTAGCCATATTATTAATTAAAGTTTGCTATGTATGTTTTTATTTTTGTTTGTGATAATGACATTAAATATTTTTCCACTCTTGCTTACTCTCCTGCTGTTAACTTTAATATCCACTGAACAATTTTAAATCATCGGCTAAATTTGAAAACCTCATAAGTCCAATTATATGTGATTAAATCTTAAAATATAGTTAGTATACCTTATTTGAATTATACAATAAAAGTACATTCATAGATAATGATAAATTTATTCAAATGTATATTTACAAAGAGCAACCCCTAGAGTTTCTTGCTCATTCTGTTTAAGGGAATCTGCGCTACGAATGAGCAGTAATCTTTAAGACGATTTCGAATTGACGAATTGACGAAGTGTAATTTGCTTACCTTTGAAATAAACATTATTTGACTTTGACTTTGATAGCTATATAATTATTTCTACTAATTCTGTTTTGTGTGCCTATTCACATTAATGAAAGTTACAAGGTTTTCAAATTTTGCCAATGGAATGTAAGAAATGCATATCAAGTAAACATTGACAGATCTTGTTCTGTTGCTCTGGCAATATTCGAAGAAAACTGTATAGCTTGATGTGCTGGTGATTGTCTACCTCATGATTGCAATAAATGCCTTGTAGGTACTTACGAAGCTGATCAATTTCCAGGTGTAGAAAAAATAGACAAACATTTACAGGCCCTATCCAAGTTACAGCCTTGTAACCAGCCAGTGATCTTCACCTGGTCTGCTAAACAGATATCAGACAATGTCTCCAAAATTTGTCAATCGCTGCAGAAAGAATTGAAGCTGAAACTGGTTATTACAGGTGGGTACAGTATATACTACTGAATTTGAATAATAATAATATTATATTGTTTATTGCAAAACATGTTGTTACATTTAGGTCTTATAGTAAGTAGTTGGTAAAGTATCAAACATGTACCCTGTAAGGCCACAGCAATGTCATTTTTAAGATATACAATTTTATTATCATTTATTATAATATTATTACAATGAAAATAAATAAATCTTTTATTACAAAATTTAAGAATCAAGTATTCATTAGACAAGAATGTCAATGACTGCACCTCTGCCACATTGTAGTTGTAGTGTCATTTCCTGTGTAAAGGAATTTTATTATTTTTATAAGACTTTCATTAAAAAGTTATTAGGCATCTTATAATTATTTTGATTATAGTGCAGCTTCGCAGAAATTGAGCTGCTACAAACGCAAAACTGCTCTGTGCTACACACAAGTATTCTTTTTGTGCATACTTTCACGATCAGCTTTCGGCTGCACACTGACACAGCTATCGACTTTACAGTACAACTGGGGTGCATGCAGTTGGAATGCAACTGGTGTGATTGTGTGGGGTAATGCAATTTAATATATTTCAGAAAACATAGCACACTGTCGTGATGAATACCTAATGGAAGTGTACGCAAGTGCATGGGAATTTGAAGCTTACTTCGATATAGAGTCCAGTTCCTATTTGTTTGCTGAAGTTGGAATAACAGGGATTTCATAGCACAAGAATACTTAAAACATATTGGACATTACAGAAGACTCACTTAAGTGAAACATGTTCATTGTTCTAGCCGATTGAAGTGTTTAAGTCAGTAGGTGTAAGTACATAATCTGTGATGAATTGATGTATTTTTGAATATTATATTTATTTATTAATGAAATAAAATGGTATAGTTAAAAATTGACTAGCATATTTTTTACTAGCATTATTCAGTATTATATTATATTAATTAACACTGATCATGTATTGCACTCAACATGTACGGAAATGCGTATTTTCTCTAAAATGTGTAATTTTTTATGCTCGTTGGGTTAATTTGAAAATGAGTATTTATGTGAATGAATTAGTGATGTAACGAGTCTGTTAAATAATCTATAATACTTATGACTAGTCAAAAGCGTACTGTGACTCTTTTTGGACTTTAGATCACTAATCTTGTAAGCGACATGGAATTAAATTTAAACCTTAAAGAGTAAGACCTCAAATGTTATAATTATTAATACAAAGATCGAACACTCAGAAAAAATTCCATGTTGAGTGTGTGTCCGTTACAAGAAATCAATGAAAGTTTTGTCACCCAGTTAGATACCTTTACAGCTACCAGGCCTGGCGAGAAATGTCAGAAATCAATTCAATAAAATATTTAAAATACAGTAAATAGCGACATCACTCGCCAAGGCTGGTAGCTGTAAAGGTATCTAAATGGGCGATAAAACTTTCATAGATTTCTCATAGATGGCGCTACGACTAAAAAGTCGTTGAAAAATCAGTTTGTTTCTAACCGACTTCAAAAAAGGTTCTCAAACAATAATAATAATAATGAAGTGCACACACTCATGGCCCCGCACTAGGGAAACCCTGTATCGCGGGTGCCATGGACACACACATCCACAATTTACACCTAAACTCACGAGAGAAATTAATGTAGGCCGTACAAATATTCAACCGACCCGGGAATCGAACCCGAAACCTCTACATGGCAGTCCATCATGGTAACTGAACGTGACTGAACGTCACGTAGTCAGTTAGCAATTTCTACTGTTTTATTTTTGTGTGTATGTTTCGCGATTACTCCGACATTTGTGAACCGATTTTGATGATTCTTTTTTTTGTTGAAAAGAGGGTACCCCAGTAGTGATCCTATTCAAATTTGAATAAAATACTCTACCTCTAAGATTAGTTACACACGGCGACTTCTAGCAGCGATGCAAACGCGCGTTCGTGAAACGTGCGATTGCATCGCTACACTTGCGATTTATGCGGGTTACGTATCAGTAGTCCGAAATGACATTTTCCAGAAATAACGTTTCATAACCTCGAAAGTAATTTTGAGAGAAAAATGTTTTTTTCTTTTAACTTAACCTAATCTAACCGAACCTAATCGTATCTTTGCGATAACCATTCAACATATCCTGAAAGAACAACTGTTTCGTTATAATTCGGTGTAACGAAAATTCGAACAAACGTTATTTCCGACAAAAAAATATTCAACTTTAGATGGATACGATAGGTTACCATTTATAGGTGATACAATCGCGTGAGCAATCGCTTATAAATAATAATAATAATAATAATAACTTTATTTACAAATACTAAAAAAATAATTACAGTAATATGTTTTAAGTAATTGATTGGTTGCTAACCAGCCAGGCAACATCCAGACCCCACAAAAGGATTCAACCTGTGTTAGCGGATAGTACTGCTGCCACCACGGCGGGAAAGCATCAATCTTAGTTGTAACAAACAAATGGCTTAAAAGTAAACTAAATAAAACTCTGTAGTCCCAAAACTAGTACAATAAGACTGTTCTTTTGGGAAGATGTATGTATCGATGTATCGATGCAATCGCGCGTTTGTATCGATGCAGTCGCGCGTTTGCATCGCTGCCTTAAGTAGCGCGTGTGTGTAAAGGTAGACGATTAGCTACTGCATCGCGTTTGCATCGCTGCTAAAAGTCACCGTACGTTAACTCTCTATGGATTGTAAACTAGAGGGTGAATTCGGTTAATTGAATTTCACTCATTTTGCAGTTAACCGATTTCAATAAAACATGGCACAGATGTAATTGCAATGAAGATAAAATGTTATGGTGACCTAGCGCTGGTATTTTGATGGAAATGACATGAGACAACTCCTTAACAGTGTGTTTGGGCTCGGCTAGGCCTTTCATATGCGTTTCGGTTATCGTTGAGGAGATCGCGGTAATGAACATAGCGAAAGCCGATAAGATTTTGGGGTCGGTTTTTCTTTGTCTGTTTTTTTTTATTTTTTTATTATTTTTTTTATATAATACCAAGTGATGGGGTGAAAAAGTCGCGTGTCGCGCTCTTGGTGGGCAGCGACTCGCCTATTTACAACAGTTGCAGTGCCACTCAGAGCTTTAAATTGCAAAGATCTTAGGGGCACTGCCACTGCTCCCGTCGCCCTGATACATAAGTTGACAAATCTCTTGTGGCTGTAATTTTCCAAACCAGAACGCAGTAATGCTCACATTACTGCTTGGCGGCAGAAGTAGGTAAAGTGGCAGTACTTTCCTAAAAAAAACAATGAGTTGTTATTAAGTATGATGTTATGCTTATTTAGTTTATATCATTAATATCATTCCGGGTTTTAAAAAGGAAATATTGTACGCTCTATATTACTTGAAATTTATATTCCGATCTCTAGTTATTATTATTTATTCTGTGCTCTGTTGTAATTGTTGAGACCAAATAATGGTGACTATCTGGCCCGTTTATTGATTTATAATTTAATTGGAGGTGTTTCATTGACCCCAAAAGATCCAGCTCGAATGCCGCAAAGCATTATACGATAGTTTCAATAATTTACATAAATCGAGATGTAGGGTGGAGGTCATCACCATAGCGATACACGTCAAACATTGGTGGGTAAACAAATTAACGCCTATGTAATCCGACGTTCGCGATCTTCATACCATGTTTAATGCCTGTTGGCATTTCCAACCAAATTAGAAACAGATATAAAGACTATATTATTATTGTAACAGCGTCGGCGCTATAAAAAAACAAAAATATTTCTATAGGTACTAAAGTATCTATAGAAATATTTTTGTAAATATTATATATTTTATAAATATATTTTTGTAATGTAAAGTACATATTTCAATTGTTTTTTATATTATGTTTTTGATATGACGAGTTACTAGGTCTAGTTTATCTATAATAATAATATTTAGATACATCGTCGGTGTTTTGTAGAAAGGCCAAAGTTTTTCACGACTGTTTTACAAATATGTATTTAGGTTTTTTAAATCCAATTTTAAAACAGGACGTAACATTTTCTACATAACTATGATTAACATTTTAGAACAGTCGTTAAAACCTAAAACATGCATAAACCTGAAAAAATTTCGAAATGGCGCTTTCACCCTGTCTACCAAAACAACGACGATATAATGAAGTCAAACAGTATTAAATCTATGGTTCTACAGCCAACAGTACATCAAGCTATAGCTACACTTTTGTTCAAATATCGCCTCCAGTGCAACGGAACAAGATCCATTAATGTGTAGCTTGATGTCTTTATTAAAGTCTTATCAGTAACAAAACTGTTTGTGAGCATAGATTGTAGCTAGCCCCGTCGCTTGTTTTTATTTTTACCCCATTTTTATGTAAAAAATCTTTTGTTTATAATAAATAACATGCTATGGCCCTATTACGCCATAAGTCGTCAAGAATTTAATAAGCAAGTTGCTGGCGGCCGCTATTGACCGTCGCCGCGTCGCCGCCGTTGCCTGCACGCAAAAAGAACCCTTAAGGTGGTAATGAGCCGACTTTGCTAACAGTACATGCTACTAATAGAAAATATTAAGACTTACGAATCCCAAACCAAACAAGGCTTTAGATCGGGATATATCTGTAATACGGTTTGTACTTACTTTGTATTTAGTTTTACGAAATCACTACACAGACATAATATGTTATACCTACTTAATATACATGCCTTTGATTGGAGTAGGCAGATACTTGATTGATAAGATATAATGGTCAGGATCATGCAAAATGGAAATCGAATAGAACAGAATAGAGTACGTTTATTTGCCAGAATACAGTAATTACATAGGTCTTAAGTAAAATCAGGAACATTGTATTCAACCTGCAAGCAGATGTGCAAATATTCATGGGATTTAATGTTTATAGTTAATGTTTAATGTTAATTACTTTATGGCAGCGAGGTTGGTATAAAATATTCATAATTTTTGCTCTAATTTGCCTTTGAATGACTTCACCGCGTGTTTTAAAATATTGAGGACGAGAGTTGACAAATACGCAGATATCCCTAATGTACATACATGGCAAGGGTAATATTAGCCTTTTGAACAGCGGTTTGTAACCGTCATCGCACCACGCGCCTCAAATTGCTCGATTACACATCTTCTGGACTTTAAACGCTCTAGGACTGCTGAGTTGCCCCATAGTACAAGACCGTAGCTGAGCACGGACGAAACTTAGCCATGATAGGCCTTCAACGCAGCGTCTCGCGAGACAGTTTGCCTTAGTCTTCGTAGAGCGTAAACAAATTTGTTTAGGTTCATCCAAATCTGTTCGATGTGTTCCTTCCAGTTATGGTTCTTGTCGATTGTCAAGTGTCAAGTAAGTTAAATGTATCCACTTCATCTACAGATCAGCGTTGTAATTAATTTTAACCGGTATGGGATTTGAGTTATAAGATCTAATGTCGTAACCTGGTTTTACTTAAATTATTTAAAATTCAAGTCATTGATGTTCATCCAACTTATCACGTCTGTCAGTGCCTTATTTATGTCAGTGTTAAAAGTCGCTTTGTTTTGGCATTTTATTATAAGAGTTGTATCGTCAGCAAATTGTATACAATTGTGATCAATAGCACGTGAGAGATCGTTAATGTAGAGTAGGAACAGTAACGGACCCAGGACGCTACCTTGCGGTATTCCAGCATTAGTCGTTTTAAAGTGCGATCTAAAAATTTGTTTTGCCAATCTATTATTGTGTTTGTGTTTTGTTATTCTACTTATTTCCGTATACTATGTCCGATTTTTTAAGTAGCTCTCTTGATATCGATAACAAAGGCTCAATTTACATTGCGGCGGAACGGAATAGAAGCGAATTTTTGTAACGATATTGTACATAGCGTAATGAAGTTTATAATATTAAGTATAAT